GGTTCGCTGCTGCCGCTGCTGCTTACTTCTCTTCTCTTCTCTGTTCACTTCTGTCTTCTCTGTATTTTTGTAAGTTCTGTTAAAACTCTGCTGCTGTTGCTGCTGCTGCTGCTGTTGTTGCAACTGCTCTCTGAATAAAACGCACCACACACATAACACACACACACATTCACAGACTGATCTGCTCTGTACTTGTACTGACTTTGACTGAACCAATCTCACACGACTGCACTGCACTGTTCCTGATATTTATCTTCTGTCATGCTTTTGGTATTGTTGTTCTCGGAAAACTTCTTAGGTATATGAGTTGTTGCTCATATCATTGAATTGCGTATCGTTTACTTGACTTTGACTTTTGGGCATAAACTGAGCCACTGCTAATTTACCACCTATAAAATGTCGATAAATGAGAAACGTTATTTAAATCAATTGGTGTTAAGCATTCCAACATTACTTAAAGGTTTTTTTCTAAATACGTTTATAGAAATAATTACTTAAAAATATTAGTTTTCAAAGTTCAAGAGTTTTTTAAAAAGAAAATGTTTTCAAGCTTAAATATTTGACTCTTATATGCTGGTTAGAAACTACTAGGAAATGCCAATAAAATAAGATGTCTATATTTAAAAATGTATATATAGAACACAGGAAACCTAATCAAATCGTTTGTGAAATCATGTAAAAAAATATATTTATATTTATATATGAATATACAAATATACATATCATATGTACATGTATATATATGACTATATAAATATACATATTGATATAAAGAGAAAATGGGTGGATAAGTTGGTAGGTTGCTTTTCAAAATTGTACTTGTTAGGTCCTTAACTAATTTTATAGCTATGCTCACCTCGTCTGGGCGCCTCAATATCTGCGGTTGTTGCCTCCACCGTTATTGAAGCCCTGATTGTTGCCACCATAATTGCCTTGATTTCCACCGCCTTAAAAAACACAAAAAGAACCCATATGCACTTTTAGAAAGTGTTTCAAAACTAACCTTCATTTCTTAATATAACTATTAACCGCACTATAACGTGTCTGCTGATTGATAAATTACATATGCCTAGCACAGCATAAATCAAAGTCTCTGCATGCATATTTCATCTTTTGTGGTTAAGCCTAAAGAGCTAAGCTCTATGAACGTTCCAATAATTCAAAATCTACACTGTTATCTACGTTTCTAAACCTCAGTTTTCAACTAAAATTGAAATGTAGATCGGTATGAGGTGTTTTTGAGTGAAGCTTACCTGCTTTGTTGCCGAAGTTGCCGCTCTGGTAGGGCTGCATGCGGTTGTTGCCAAAGTTGCCACCACGCTGGGGGCCACCGCTATAGCCCTGTTGATAATTTCCAAAATCATTGCCGCCATTGTTACCCCAGTTGCCGTTACCACCGCCGCCGCCAAAGTTGCCACCATTGTTTCCCCAATTGTTATCCCACGGTCCGTTATTTCCCCAGCAATTATTACCACCTCCGTAGCCGCCACCAAAATTGTTGTTGCCCCAATTGTCGTTATTACCGCCGCGATTACCCCAGTTTCCGTTTTGGTTGCCGAAGTTGCCACCACCGCCCATATTGCCGCCCATGTTTCCACCCCTATTGCCACCACCACCACGGCCACCCTGGCCACGACCACCACCACCACCGCCTCCCATTTCATTTTGCTTAGGCAAAGCCTTCTTCACGTCCACCATTTTGCCATTGAGCTGATGCTGTTTTTGCACTGCAAATAAACAAAAATAAGGAAGATGTGCTTAATTGTGAACTAAACGTACTAAAAGTAGGTACAAGAAAACGTAAACAACACATACTTTTTTGAGCCTTACTGTACAAGAACAACAGCATTTATAACAGCGAGATTTGTAATATTAATGATGAAACGCCGGGAAATTAATTTAAACTTAAAAGAGATATTTGTAACGAGGCTGCGTGTTACGCTGAGCTAGGATTTTAATGCATTCGCATAACATAGCTTAGCCGACGCTTTCATTATTCTCACAGCATTCACAAGGAAAAACCGTACAAGCGAAGGTCAAGCTTGTCAATTTGTCAGTGCTGTGTTGCTTTATCGACCAATTGTGGCACATACGTTTTCATCAGTTAGGCATTCTGAGTGCCTAAGCAACAAAGATATAATACGTGCTAAATTTATCTTACAGTCAATGAACGCCGCACAGACACATCAAACATTGCTATGCGGAGCTGGGACTGTGAATTATTATTCAATTTATGGAATTCATTAAAATTTGGCTAGATAAGATCAAGCAAAGTAAACTGTAGCAGTTTGATTTCCTATAGAGTTCAGTGTGTGATGTGGTCCAGTCAGTTAACTTATATATATACAGATATGTCGACGCGTATAGAACTTACAATTGTATAACAGATTTAATGTAACGAGGCTGCGTGTTACGCAGAACTAGGATTTTTATAGATTCGCATAACATAGCTTAGCCGACGCTTTCATTATTCTCACAGCATTCACAAGGAAAAACCGTACAAGCGAAGGTCAAGCTTGTCAATTTGTCAGTGCTGTGTTGCTTTATCGACCAATTGTGGCACATACGTTTTCATCAGTTAGGCATTCTGAGTGCCTAAGCAACAAAGATATAATACGTGCTAAATTTATCTTACAGTCAATGAACGCCGCACAGACACATCAAACATTGCTATGCGGAGCTGGGACTGTTAATATATTGAAATAAAAATTATTGTCCTTTACTTACACACAACTTTGTCCACGGGATCGTAATCATCGAATTCGACAAAGGCAAAACCACGTTTTTTGCCGGTCTCTTTGTCCATGACAATGTTGATATCAACAATGTTGCCGTAGTGCTGGAAATATTCACGTAGGCTTTGCTCGTCATGATCGTCCTTCAATGCGCCCACGAACAGCTTCTTAACCGTTGCTCCTGCATTTGGCGAGTCAATGTCTTGGCGTGGCACAGCACGCTTGGGCTCGACGACACGTCCGTCGATCTTGTGAGGACGAGCCTTCTGGGCTTCATCTACCATGCTTGAATGCGAGTATGTAATGAAGCCGAAACCGCGTGAGCGCTTCGTACGTGGATCCTTCATTACGACCACATCGACAATTTGCCCCCATTTTTCAAAGTGAGCTTTTAAATTATCATCGGTGGTACGGTAATCAAGACCACCAATAAACAATTTGCGCATATGCTCTGGCTCAGAAATAGAGTCCTAAATAAAAATAAAATTCAAGTTTCATATCGATTTTTTCATCAAGCCAAACATAACCTCTACTCCGCTGACGCACATGCGAAAAATTTCAAAATGGCGGTCAACGAGCCACGCGTATGTATGTATCCATACATGCATACAAATTTACATATTATTAAAATGATTTACGGACTTACATCATCATGCTGTCCGTTAGAATTTCCATTCTGATCGTTGTGGCCGCCCATCTTATATATTTTTTCACAATATATATGTATATATAGTTATTTTCTTATAAATTCAAAAAACGACACAGCACAAACGCTCCACTCGCTTGCGTTGAAAACTGAAAATTGAAATGTAATGCTAGACTGTGTGGCCAAGTTTCACAAATGTCAATATACTTTCAAAGCAGTGTTGTGTAAGGCCTTTCTCTTTAGACAAAGTATGCTGTTCATAATTTATGTGATTCTATTAGAATAAAGAAAATTAAGAGAAACGAATATTATATGCTATAATATTTCATGCAATAGGTGTGAATAATAATAAAGACTATATATATATTTTTTTTTTTTTTGGTGTTTCGTAATGTAACAATACAATAAATCGTGCTTCAACAAAATCATCCGACTACCATTCATATCTTAACAAGTTCACTAGCTGTTATCGTTTTCTTTTTGAGTTCGATACACAGTCAGGATGCCAAAGAAGAAAACCGGCCAGCGAAAAAAAGCTGAAAAGCAAAAGTTACGTTTGAAGGAGATTAGGGGTCGAGAGATTCCTCTCGCTGATCTACCGTGCAATGCGCCAATGGACTGCGATAAGTGTGAGAAAAAGCAGAAGTCTCGTGCTTTTTGCTACTTCTGCCAGAGCGTGCAACGATTGCCCATTTGTGCACAATGTGGCAAAATAAAGTGCATGTTAAAAACTGGAGACTGTGTGGTTAAGCATCCTGGTGTTTACACGACTGGATTCCCTGGCATGGTTGGTGCAATTTGCGACTTCTGTGAGGCCTGGGTGTGTCATGGACGCAAATGCTTAACCACGCACGCGTGCACTTGTCCACTGCAGAACGCTGTGTGCTTAGAATGTGAGCGTGGTGTCTGGGAGCATGGTGGGCGTATCTTCAAGTGCTCTTTCTGCAATGGCTTTCTATGCGAAGATGACCAGTTCGAGCATCAAGCCTCTTGTCAGGTGCTGGAGTCTGAGAACTACAAGTGTCAATCATGCAATCGTCTCGGTCAATATTCGTGTTTGCGCTGCAAGACTTGCTACTGCGAGGACCATGTACGTCGCAAGGGCTTCAAGTATGAAAAAAACAAGGCTATCCCTTGTCCGAAGTGCAACTACGAAACGTCCGTTACAAAGGATTTGAGCATGTCTACGCGTTCTCACAAATTTGGCCGTCAACAGCAGGGCATAGGCAGCGATGACGAGGAGGGTTATGGTGGCTACTATGGGGGCTATGGTGCCAGTAGCAGCGCTGGCTATTCTTATGGAGACGATGATGATGACGAGGATGGCGAGGACGATGAAAGCGAAAGCGAAGATGACGATGAGGAGACAAGTGGCAGTGAAGCCGACGAGACTGCAGAAGTTGATAAAAAAACGGACAAATAATTCAAATTGTATAAATAGATACATTTATGTATATATGTTTTAAATTGATGAGCGAATTACATAAATCATTTACTGGCAAAAGAAGCAAATTATTTATTATTCAATGGTTTTTATATAGTGTAGGAATTTAGTAAAAGATTGGTTGATACGCGCAAAAGGTGGCTGCTATGAATGAAGAATGAATTGGTTTATTGCACATTTCACAACACTGGCCACTTGCACGTGCGACATCGACTTGTTTTGTTTTGAAATGGAAGTTTTTAATAATCGTCCCGGATTCTGTCCGTCCTGCGGATCTATCCTGCCACCACTGCAAGTCAAAGGAAACGTATTTTGTTATAACTGTAAACAAGAGTTCTCCCCAGATGGTAAGCTACGGGTAGCAACTTAATCTTGTGGAGTTTCAATCCAATTCATGTCTATTTCACAGTTTACATAGGGGAGACATCCGAATATACAATACACTTCAATAGCTTCGATCCCAGCAAAATTTCCAAAAAAATTACTCAAAAGTCCGAAGAAACAGAAGCAGATGGCCCTGTTGTAGAGCGCAAGTGCCCCAAATGTGGCAATGACAAAATGTCCTATGCCACATTACAGCTGCGCTCGGCGGACGAAGGTCAAACTGTGTTCTTCACGTGTCTGAAGTGCAAGTAAGTGAATGGTTGAAGATAGATACAACTCACCTATGCTTAACTACGGACTTTATTTACAGATACAAGGAATCAGAGAACTCCTAAATGCATAAACTTAGCTGTTAGTCAACTAATTGTGTAAATACATATAACTTATATTAGTCAAAATAATTATGTTCGACGGCCTGCAAAATAAATGTAGATGGAAACGAATATTTTGGTATGTCGTCCATTAGTTATAATATAAGGACCTACCTCTGTGGCTTTAAGTCGATTCTTTGGATTGTAAACGACCAAATTGGATACCAAATCAATTTCAACGGCATGTGTGCAGCTTGGAAACAAATTGTTCCAATGTATGCCCACCGAATTGGGAAACCTGATAGAAGAAAAGATATCAATATCACCTGAGGCACAAAACAAATCCCCATTTTACCTTATTTTGCTGTAATCGGGCAGTGACGTTAACTCTGGCCATTCGTTTAGACGGGGACTGCCCAACGTTCGTATTATTATGGCCAGTTGTTCGATATCCGTCGTGCCTGCAAAGAGCGGTACGCCCCGTAGCATTTCGGCCAGCACATTACCGCATGCCCATAAGTCAACGGCAGGTCCGTACTTTTGACTGCCCCACAGTATTTCGGGTGCGCGATACCAGCGAGTAGAGACCTGTGGCGAGTACAAGCGCGACTCCTCATCGGGAAAGTAGAGACGTGCCAAGCCAAAGTCAGCAATTTTTAGGACATCCATATGGCTGATCAGCAAATTAGCTGGTTTGATATCCCTGTGCATAATGCCCGCCTCGTGCAGATAGGCCATACCCTTGAACATCATCAGGGAATACTTTCGCACCTGCTGACGACTCAACGGATTCACCTCACTCTTCAGTCGACCGTACAGTGTGTCGGGCATATACTCCAACACCAACGAAAGACCCGTCAGATCCGGATATATTTCAATTATATTTAGTATCTGAAATCATTTAGTAGATATAAAGCTAACATACTTTTAGATCAGAGCTTACATATTCCGAGTTGCACAATTGAAGTGTTTTGATCTCGCGCAGCGTATTCAACGATATGTTGCCGAATTTGTTTTTCAATGCCACCTTTTTGATGGCCACCTCCACATTGCGCTGCAAGTCGAGGGCCTTGAACACACAACCGTGCACGCCTTCACCAATTTTATCCTGCATTTTATAGCGACTGGGCGCATAGTCCTCCATGATTTAAATTCGCTAATTGAGTGCAGCTCTTCACAATTTTTTTTCTTTAATATTCATTCGTTTTTCGTAGCCCTTGGCAACGGTCATAACAGTAAACCAAACAGTCGTTACCCTGCGAATAACGCTAACAAAACAAAAGTCCGTCCACTTAGCCACCTGTTGTCAGGTTGTTTACGAAGTTTTTCCCAGCTCGTTTAGAATGCGAACTGAGGCCCAAAACGTGGACTGTCAAAGGTTAAGGCATGCGCATTGGCATGTCATTTGGCTGCTGTCAGCGCAACTGTCAAATTGCGAGGATACACAATTTTTCGGACCTTCGCAACTTCCAACGAAACGAAAACTGCTAAAAATATCAAATAAAACCATTCGAATATGTCTTTAGTTATTAAGTGAATCAATAAAGAAATCTGGTAGGTGTTGATTTCTTTTAAGTATCAGACTTGAAATAAGCGTTTGAAATGGGCGCTAGAAAAAGAGTTAAATAAGTGTAGTGTGGAGTATGTGTGTGTGTGTCCTGAAATACATAGTTTCAGTTAAAAATCTAATTCTACAATTCAAATGACTATAGTTGTATTGTTATTGTCTTTGATATTCGATGATTCATAATTTAATGAGTAAACTTTGTGATATTTTGCATCAAGGACTGGTTATTGAACATATAATTCTACCTTAATATATATATACATATACTCATATATGTATACGTAAGGATACTCACCTAAGTACGGGCATACAAATACAATGAGCATATACATATACGTATAGGAATTTTTCACGTTGGCACGCAGGGCCTGTCAGGCGCACCTTGAGCCAAATTACTATTGTTATAACTGGGCTAAACTTAAAAAAAAGCAAATAGTATAATAGCCCAACGCATTTGAAGGTCTAACAAACTATAATATCTGCTAAATAGAAGGTTGAACACTGGTTTTGAACTCAATATCCATTATAATAATAATATTATATATAATATCTAAGGAACCCACAGATATGGAACCCTGAATAATTATTGTTCTCTTCACTTGGATACACATATATTAAAATATCTAAGCGATTCACAGCTCGCGCACACAGCAAGATGTTCCAACCGAATCTGATCCTTTCACTGTTGCTCTGCCTTGGGCTGTGTTTGAGCCGTGCTCAGGCCCGAACTGCCAAGCGCTCCGATGTTTACATTGCGGGCTTCTTTCCATATGGCGATGGCGTTGAGAACTCGTACACTGGACGTGGAGTTATGCCCAGCGTGAAGCTGGCGCTTGGCCATGTCAATGAGCATCCACAGATATTGACCAACTATCGGCTGCACATGTGGTGGAATGATACACAGGTGGGATGTGCATAAAGGAATACGAACTATAAATTTATCTATATCTACTGTTATTCCCAGTGCAATGCTGCAGTGGGCGTGAAGTCCTTCTTCGACATGATGCACTCAGGCCCCAACAAGGTGATGCTCTTTGGTGCCGCCTGCACGCATGTCACAGATCCCATAGCCAAGGCCAGTAAGCACTGGCACTTGACGCAGCTAAGCTATGCGGACACCCATCCCATGTTCACGAAGGACGCGTTTCCCAACTTCTTTCGCGTAGTACCCTCGGAGAATGCATTTAATGCTCCACGGCTAGCGCTGCTCAAGGAGTTCAACTGGACGAGAGTGGGCACTGTCTATCAAAACGAGCCACGATATTCGCTACCGCACAACCATATGGTAGCAGATCTGGACTCCATGGAGCTGGAGGTGGTGGAGACTCAAAGTTTTGTCAACGATGTGGCCGAGTCTCTGAAAAAGCTCCGTGAGAAGGATGTGCGCATAATTCTGGGCAACTTCAATGAGCATTTTGCACGCAAAGCATTTTGTGAGGCCTATAAGTAAGCACATTGAAAAAGTCCTTCAAAATCGGCCGGTCTTAATCGTGTTTCCTGTAGATTACAAATGTATGGACGCGCCTATCAGTGGCTAATCATGGCCACTTATACAACGGATTGGTGGAATGTGACGCTGGACAGCGAATGCACCGACAAAGAGATAGCCACAGCTTTGGAGGGCGCCATTTTGGTGGATCTGCTGCCGCTCTCCACCAGCGGTGACATTACCGTGGCAGGCATAGTAAGATACCTCGAGATTGTGCATTCATTGGTCGTTCTTCAATCCATATTTGTCTTGCAGACGGCGGACGAGTATCTGGTTGAGTATGATCGACTACGCGGTACAGAGTATTCCCGCTTCCATGGCTACACGTATGATGGCATCTGGGCGGCCGCCTTGGCAATACAGTACGTGGCGGAGAAACGCGAGGATTTGTTGACGCATTTCGACTATCGTGTCAAGGATTGGGAGAGCATATTTCTCGAGGCATTGCGCAATACTTCCTTTGAGGGCGTAACGGTTCGTATGCCGATGCCGATCTATGTTTTACTTTTATCACATTTATATCATTCACTAGGGCCCTGTACGCTTCTACAACAACGAACGCAAGGCCAACATTTTAATCACCCAATTTCAATTGGGTCAAATGGAGAAGATCGGTGAATATCATTCGCAGCAAGCACACTTGGACATGACACTGGGAAAGCCAGTGCGCTGGGTGGGCAAAACGCCGCCCAAGGATCGAACTCTAATCTACATAGAACACAGCCAGGTGAACCCCACCATATATATTGTGTCAGCCAGCGCCTCGGTCATTGGCGTGATCATAGCCACTGTTTTCCTAGCCTTCAATATCAAATATCGTAATCAACGGTAAGATCTTAAGCAGCTATATCAATCCTTACCTATTCTACCGCATGTCTGTCTGTTCTTTGTAGCTACATCAAAATGTCTAGCCCGCACTTGAACAATCTGATTATAATTGGCTGCATGTTAACCTACTTGAGCATTATATTCCTGGGCCTGGACACTACGCTGAGTAGCGTGGCAGCTTTTCCCTATATATGCACGGCTCGTGCTTGGATCTTAATGGCTGGTTTTAGTTTGGCCTTCGGAGCTATGTTCTCGAAAACTTGGCGTGTGCATTCGATTTTCACCGACCTGAAGCTGAACAAGAAAGTAATCAAGGACTATCAGCTGTTTATGGTTGTGGGCGTGCTGTTGGCCATTGACATAGCGATTATAACCACCTGGCAGATAGCCGATCCCTTTTATCGCGAGACCAAGCAACTGGAGCCTAAAGTGAGAAAAACAAACTTAGAGATTCTTGAATTGAATTCCAATCTTTACTTACAGCATCACGAGAATATTGATGATGTCCTAGTCATACCCGAGAACGAGTACTGCCAATCGGAGCACATGACCATATTCGTTAGCATCATCTATGCCTATAAGGGCTTGCTACTGGTAACCAAATGGACTTACATTTGATTAATGTCACCAACGTTATTTAATAATTCCCATTCCCTCAGGTTTTTGGCGCCTTCTTGGCCTGGGAAACCCGGCATGTGTCCATACCAGCTCTAAATGACTCCAAGCATATTGGTTTCTCCGTTTATAATGTGTTCATTACTTGTATTGCCGGCGCGGCTATATCGCTTGTTTTATCGGATCGCAAGGATTTAGTTTTTGTCTTACTCTCGTTTTTTATCATTTTTTGTACGACAGCCACTTTGTGTTTGGTGTTCGTACCGAAAGTAAGACTGGTAGTAAGGAAGTTTTGTAGTTTTTGTAGCTGTTAAACACATAATCGTATATTACTTATATACACGAGGGGCGTACGAGTACATACGTATTATGTTGAATGTTGTTCAATATGTTCGTTTGATCATTTCGAATGTCAGCATCCGTAGATAGGATGGCATTTCAAATGATCAGCATTTCATTTAGCGCTGCTCTTTACGCACTAAATTACTTAACTCTGCTAATGCTACATAACACTACATAATAACTTTTAAAAAGCTATATCAACTATCTTTATATATAACTCTATACATACATATGCCAGCAATGTCAGTGCCATTTGAAAAGTTCTGTTGTAGACATCTATTGACATTTCTGGTATGCTGTTCTTCAAATCTAGTCTCACCTGAGACGTTATTTACCTTGCTGTTTACGTTGTTCTCCGGCTGTTAACTTACTTAAGCAATGGTTCATCGAATTCCAGCTCGTCGAACTTAAACGTAATCCTCAGGGCGTTGTGGACAAGCGAGTGCGCGCTACTCTACGCCCTATGTCCAAGAATCGACGCGATTCCTCGGTCTGTGAGCTAGAGCAGCGGCTGCGCGATGTGAAGAACACCAATTGTCGCTTCCGCAAGGCTCTGATGGAGAAGGAGAACGAACTGCAGGCGCTGATACGCAAGCTGGGTCCGGAGGCGCGCAAGTGGATTGATGGAGTCACCTGTACAGGTGCGCCCACGGATATGGAGCCCATACTGAGTGACGATATGGCCAAGTTATCAGCTCCGCCTGTGCGTCGCGAAATGCCCAGCACCACAGGTGAGTAAACACTTTGTTATCTAGACAAATTCATGCATTGCTCACTGCTTGCACCTAGAAGTTACCGAGCTGACATCTGTGGACAGTATCACCTCGACACACGTGGAAATTGACAACTCATTTGTTTCGGTGCAGTCCACCACTGTGGCACCCTCCTTACCACCGTAAGTTCAAATGTTCTTCATCTATGCAGTTCTAAAACCCGTTTACTCAATAGAAAAAAGAAGAAACAATCAATTGTGGAGCACCCTCCGAGTGCTATGATGCAGCCAATTCAGCAACAGCTGCAGCAACATCTTCAGAAACAGCAGCAAATGCAACAGCAGCAGCAACTACAGCAACAACAGCAGCAGCAGCAACAGCAACAACACCAGCAGCAACAGCAGCAGCAGCAGCAGCAACAGCAACAACAACAACAACAGCAACAACTACATCAACACCATCGACACTTGGAGAAACGGAATTCAGTTTCGGCTCAGACAGATGGCAATATTGGCAGCGTAACTAGCAGCAGCTCCACTAAACGCCCTACAGGCGACTGCAGCGCAATGAGGGATCGACGCCAGTCAACAGTGTCCAGGCACTATGAGAGTGGAAGCCAAACGCCAACGGCCAAGCCAAAATATAGCAGCACACATCGCAATTCCTCCACAAATATATCCACCTCGCAATCGGAGCTGAGTAACGTTTGTCCACACAGCAAACCCGGCACACCGGGCGTCATTAAAAGTATGTGTTACTACTACAACTCTAATTTATGTATTCAAATTAAAATATTATTCCTTGCTTAAACAGCTCCCACTGCCTCGGATCATCGTCGCACCAGCATGGGTTCGGCCCTCAAGTCGAACTTCGTTGTTTCCCAGAGTGATTTATGGGACACACATACGCTCTCCCATGCCAAGCAGCATTCACGCCAATCGCAGCGTACCTATGCCAGTCCGCAACGTTGCTCAGAGCATCACGGCCACGTGATGCCCTATGAACAAAGCACAACGTCACCTATCCAGCGCTCTGTCTCGGAAAAGAATCGGAATAAACATCGTCCCAAGCCACAAAAGGGCACAGTTTGCCAGAGCGAAACGGACAGCGAGCGGGAACGGGAGCCGACGCCCACAAGCGTGCAGCAGTGCACGCAGACGCGCAAATTCAATCGAAATGCGAACATTCAACATGCGGCGCATCATCACAGTTCACCGAACGTGGCACCGGAGAAGCAAAGGAAGCAGCGCAACCGAACCGACCATTCGATCTATGGTGCCAGCTCCGAAACGGAACTTATAGAGGGGGAAACAGCTATACTCCCCATATTCCGAAAACTACTCACTGAAAAGAGTCCCAACTATCGCGGCCGTAGCGCCGTTGGACAGAGCTGCCCAAATATATCCATCAAATGCGATATCGTTGAGTACTTGTAGGCAATGATTACAATGCTGCATCCAAACGACGAATATGTTGTGCAGTTTTTAGCCCCTAGGTCAAAATTCCTTACACTCTACACGTTATCGTAATGCGTACGAATGTGTAGAGAACACAATTTCATAAATTGCTAGCACAAATATTATTGACAAACCTAGTTGAAAATTTAATAATAACTAATATAAGTAAACTGCAAAGTGTTGTCTCTCTCTGGAATTTAAATTGGGTTATTTCCAAACATTATTTCTTTTATAAATTGTTTTACAGGTAACATTTATTAAATCACTTCAACACATTTTATAAGTTCAATGAAGGAAGTACAAGGTTTTCAGTTGTAGTTAAGTACAATACGTCATGATTTGGCTTTACTTATTCTCATGGCCTGTATAAACATAGAATTTGAGTTTATCAATTTGTCACCTTCTGTATCACAGTTACATGGTTATTACAAACGTGAGTGTGTTGTGCGTGTTGTGTGTCTGTGTGTGTTTTGAACAATTACGACTAAATAGGATAGACAACACATATGGTACATCAAAGTACATTATATATAGATGCTTGTTTGTACATGTACATGTACATAGCTCTACCATATATGGTAATTACATATACATTCATATACACTATAATGCCGGCACCAACATAGTTGGTCCGCTTTAACAGCTAATAAAAATTCAGAGTATAAATAGTTTTGATTACAGTTAAATACGTAAGTACATAAACGATTACGCGGACGCGCTCTGCTTCTTTTTCTTTGTCATTAAATGGTTCACTAAAAACTAATAATACCGACATTATGCAGTCGTACAGTTATGGACGTACCCAGTACCTTCCGCTAATTGCTTCAGTTTACAAATTTTCGAGCTCACTTGGCTCAGGTGAGCGCCAAACGTTACAACAACTAAGTAAAAAAGCGCATTGCAACTGTTTGAAGTCTTTTTGGAATAGCACACTAAATAGTAATTCAAATCGCCAACTAGTTTGCGTAAATGTTTGTTCAAGCATAAGTACAAATCATTGTGACTCGTTCATTATCTCTTCTTCTTCTTCTTCGTCAATTAGCAAAGTAAAAAATGTGGCAAACATTTACGCAAACTGATTGGCCTTTCGAATAATGCTTAATATTAACAAAGTAGTTGCACATACGAGTTTATATAAATATATATGTATAGCTATGGTATATCGATACAGAACACTAACATGAACGCCATGTGTACACATGTATTAATACATATACATATATACATTTTCTGCTCTAGCATTGCCAATGTATATACTTTTAAAAAATGCATATATTTTCACTCCCTTGGCAAAGGCAGCAAGAAGCTCTCTTCAAATTTAAAGTTAATCCGCATTAGTGCGGCGTTTGAAATGAGTGCTCAAAGTTCTCAGTCAGCGAGAGCGGCGCATGTCCACTTTCAGTGCCTGAAATGGTTTTAATCTGATTGCTGGAATTAAGCGACTCCAGTTCATGTGTTTCCGAATTGGCCATTTCAACAATGGCTGAGCTGGTGGGTGTTAGCAGTTGTTCAGTGGCAATTATTCGACTTGGTTTACTAAAAAATATAACAACACACAAATTAGAAATAACAAACGAATTGGATCACTTACACTTACCGTTCATAAAACTTGTTCACCTTTGCAGTTCGACGCTTGCGTAATAAAGGCCAGCCCAGCTGCATGAAGCCATATTGCGGTCCGGCTACCTTGAGCAGGCTCATCAAAAAAAAGGTGGCATAGAACCAACTGGTGGCCATAATTACTACCAAAAAGACGCCTATCTGTATGTAGGGCAATATGTTGGACGCCATCATAATGCCACCGGCAAAAGCAGTAGTAGCTGCCGCCATAACCGTTGGACCGATGATACGCGACAAAACAAACTGTGTGGCTGCATTGCGCTCCTTAGAGGGCGACAGGCGATAGTGTATCCCGTAGTGAAGACTGAAATCCACAGCCAAGCCAATTGCAGTTGACACCGCAATGCTTTCCAGTACGTTAAGCTGCCAGCCAAGTAAAATAAGCACTGCCACGGTATTGAATATGGTTAGCGAGACAGTTATGACAGCATAAATTGAAATGATTATATTGAGTGTGAAACACAGCAGAACCACAAGAGACGCGCCCATGGCCAGTATAATAGCCGTGATCGTGTCATGCGAAAGAGTGTCCTGAACATTGAAAAATTTGAGATCACTGATAAACCAGCCACCGCGTAATTCCGCTGGAGCCGTGCTGATCTGCTGTTGAAACCAATTTTCAACCGTCTCATAAAACAACTTAATGTTAGCATAGAGGGTGCTGTAAGCCGTAGTAGAATCGAACTCAATGATTATTGCCTTGACGAGCAGTTGGGGCGATGTAGTTTCTATGCTTAAACTCTCATTACTGTTGCTCTCAGTATACTCATCTGATCGACTGGGTACAGCTGCGAATTTGGGACCTGCTTTTCCGTGCTGATAAAAACTGGTTTCATACAAATTGGAAATGCATTGGGGCAAACACTGCTCAAATATGTGTGGCTCATAGGGAAACTGTGCTTCGCAGCAGGGTGTGCGATCCAATACCCGTCTATCCATATCATCAATACACCTAGAAATTATATGGCGGCTTAATATAGTGCTTAAATAGTAAGAATAAGAATTTACTTACCTGCGTTCCATGAATCTTATGAAGTTCTCTATGAAGCAATTTGGCAGCAAAAATCCAAAAGTGGCCTGATAAAATGGCTGCTGGCGTATGTTTTGGCAAAATCTTCTCAGCCAAATCTGTGCCGGCTTGCTTGATATATTAAAATTATTGTCATAATGCAAGTTGCCGTATGAATTTGGGTTCGTGTAGTCGCCATCGTCCAGAGGTTGCACGCCCCAAACGAAACGCATACTCATATTGAAGTTTTCCACTCCTTGCAGAGGCTTCTCAAACCAAAACAGATGCTTCAGCCTTGTATAAACTTCAAATGGATGACTCGAAACAAATAACTGGAAATCGGGCTTTTGTGGCAGCTGCAGGCCCGGATACCAGAACACAATGATGGCACTTAAAGTCCCCAGTATGGCAAAGATAAAAAGCCATAAGTATGCATAGTTCATAATGCTTTGAGTAATGCGCTTTTCGAACAATTCGCAAAATCGATTAATTGACTTTTTACAAGCGTTGAGCAATTTCTGTGATAAATGCTGCTGGCAGGACATACGGCTAGCAAACAGGCGTTCCATGATTGAAACCGAGGCGGGCAGCCATGTGATCATGAGCAAATAGTTCGTAACTACAACAGTGCCAGCAAATATTCTAAAAAATAAATTTGTTTATAAATGGATTTCACTATAAAGACATCACTTACCCAAAACATTTAATTGCCGTTATGGAGCTACTGTAGGATGCATAAAATGCGCCGGCAGTGGTAACCGAGGTAACAAACATAGATGCCGCCGCATGTCGCATGGTCAGCGCCATGAGATTCTCCAATGTTTCCGTATGCTCATTGTGCTCCAAAGGCGTGGGTAATGTTGATTGTGTGTTCAGTGTGCTGCTCTTGCTGAAACGTTCGGCCAACACACATTGCCAAATTTTTAGGAACAAGAACACATCATCAGCACCAATGCCAATGATAACCACAATGGCTAGCAGATTCATGTAAGGAAAAAAGTTAAACTCAAAAACCACTGTGTAGGCAAAGTATGCTAATCCCAACGAAAAGCAAATGGCACAACATGACATCAAAGTTATAAACGCTGATCCTGTATATAACCAAACGCAGGCCATTACGAAAAGTCCACCGAGTGACACCAGCCACACGTCCGTTAGTAACAGCTCGCTAAATAGCTCATTTTCCAAACCCAAATCCATAGCAACAACTTCCACCAATTCATTTCTCAGAGGTCTGTAAAAAAGTCGTATAGGATATTATTAGCATTCAGTTTTACGTCATATAATGCTGCAAATAACTGTGAAACTTTATGTTAGACTTATAAGCTCAAAAACAAATATTCATTCTCTAGAAAAACTCAATGTAAAAATTAGAAAATTAAATTATCTTCGACGCCTTAATACGCAACGATTTGATAAAATGGCAGCAAATACAGAATCAAACCAACGTTTGCTTGAAATAAACGTGAATACTCTGCTCCCAAAGTGTTTCAGGAAAAAGACAGTCACGGAAGTGGATTATGTAAATCACATGCATGATGGTCGCATCTATAAGCCAAACAAGATATTTAGATATCAAACCGATCCGGCATTGATCGCTGGTCATTGTGCGAACAATCTTAAGGTAAATAATCTACAGATAAAGACTCGAACATGGCCGTATGCCATGGACTGGCGCGAGGAGTACCGTCAATTTTTGAAACGGACAAAGTGGTGTAACGAGCATGTCTATAAACTATTTTTTGAGTGCCCACCGGTACGCTATGATCAGATTGAAGATTTCCTAATAGATCTGCGGAGAACTGTTTACGGCTCGGATTACTCACCGAACGAATATGCATCGCTGCTTAGCCAAAGAACTGTAAAAGCAGATATTACCGATCCGAAATGCGATTCCAAGGATATACTGACTACCTATGGCAATTATTACAACCGTCTTGAAGAACTTAACAAAGATGGCAAACTGTATCAGGGACCGCCACCAAAGGATATGACCATCGAGACTTTTGCTCAAAATATGCGCAAGCTCTTTCGTAAATACGGACTAACTACATACTATGAGGACATTTGCCTTCCCGCATTGGTAGCTGCTAAAGAGGGTAAAATGCCAACTGGACCTATTGATCGCTATACATTGCGTAAATATTAAAGAAATGTTGATGAGATTATTTTCGACTTACACGTGTTGCCATTCATGAAAGAGTGGAAGAATACGATTGGAACGAGTAACAGGCACAAAAATCATTGCGTATCTCAAATAAACAGTTGTGTCCTGCAAATATGAGTTTTTTGTTACTCCAAGAAATATTTACATATATTGTTTATGATACTTACATTTGGCTTGATAAAGCTATAGTCGCTGAGAAAGTTTAGTACATTAAATACCAAATTATTGCGCAGGCATTCCTCCGGAGCATAACAGCGATTTACTTCGTTACAATTGTTGTCTAGCTTTAGTAAATGATAATATTCATAGCAACTGAGCAGCAGTGAGTGCAGTAATGTAACATCATCTGCATTCAGATCAAAGCATGAACTTTTATTAGCCAGCAGCGTGACGTAGTTGGGAAGTGACCAAGGCCGGCAACAGTTGGTTGACAACATTTCAGGCTCACAGAATGCCTGGTAGCTAGGCGCAGCACCGATTTGCTCTTGTAGCTGGCACATAGCCAATATGCCATTAAGATCAAATAATGAGTCTGTAGCATTCGGACCAATGCGCTTCACCACAAAATGCGAGTATGCCTTGTGTGGTGAGGAATCACAAAAGAAGCCCTCAATGGGCTGGCGAACTCTTGAGTTAGACAAACCGTCGAAGGGTAATGAGGCCTGTTTTAGCATGCGCCAAGTGCTCTTCTTGGTTTGAACGCGCTCACGGTGTTCATCCTCATCGACGAAAGTAGTATTGTGACCATATTCGATCGGCTCGCTTTGTCTGGTTGGCTCTAGCAAGGAGGGGATACTATCATTAGTCACCTCGAAGTCCCGGAACACACCACTGTCGCCCATCCACTTATCGCTTAGCGGAGATTTTGTTGCTTTTAGGCGCTTGTTGATGATCATCATATTGTACGCCACATCGCTGTGTTCGTTATTTTTCTTCTGTTCTTTGCGACGCTTATTGTTTTTATGCTTTCGACTTTGACCTTTGTGGCGCCTGTGACTTGGATGTTGATGCCTTGGCACTGCTCTTGTCTTTTCATATTGAATCTTTTGCAGTAGATCTGAAGGATTCGAGAATAATATACCATTGCCGTCAATTTCCTGATTCAGATTATGCCAAGCAGTCAGTCGTTTTCCAATTTCGGTGCCTCGCGTCTCAAAGCCCTGCAATACAAGATTTTGGTAAAAGTGTGAGCATGCGTAGAAATTTTTTACTGGTGTATGATTGATACGAACCAATGTTGGGTCACTAAAATCTGGCAAATCGTTCAGTATGAATGCCACTATGATGCAGGCCACACAGTAAACAGCAATCGAGACGACCACAAGATATGGTCGACGTGCCAGTACGTGATAATACCAGTTCATCTTTTCTGAGTCGAAGCACAGCATTCCGAAGCCAAGGTAATGTCGAGTAAACACGACAATATATACAAGAACGAAGCACTTAGAGTATATGCATTTTGTTTACTTTAGTGTCAGCTACATTGGCAACATGTGGGGTCTTAATTAACCTTGTGTCGTGATGACGGATGTCTTAAGGGTAGTCCTATTGTTGTTGTTTATGTTGTAGATACTGTCTGGACCTGCCTTGAAAAATTTCAATATATCTGTGGGTCTAGGCAAGGTTTGGTTAGATTTAACTGTAATTGGGCTCTTAACATTTTATTAAATGCTCGCGAAATAAATCTCGGACTGAGAAATTAAACTTAAATTAATAAAAGAATGCGAATGCAAAAAATGCGCAAACACAAGAAAATGCACTAGAGATGTAATAAACACAGATTGTCCTTTTAGAAATAGTATCGAATCTTTCTGATTGTATTTATCTAACTATCGATGTTTTTAAGCGCCAATAAAATGATCATTCTAACTACGTTCAAAATTCAAAGTACTTCTAGTCTTCAATTTTGCTGTTCTTCTATTTAGTGATCCTATGATCAGTAGTAAGACAGCCTGTAGCTGAGCCACAAAGATAAAGTTATATCAAGATTTAATAAGTTATTAATAATGACCACACACAGTATGTAAATAATAAAGAACTAAAGAGTTATGACACACATACATAATTGCATCTATACTCACTTTTCTGATTAGAAGGCCTCTATTGAAATTTGTTTAATTAAATTTGTTAGAATGTAAAACAGAATGTCGGAGTTCTGTATACCTTTCCAATCAGACATTTCAAAAACCTTTGTTCAGCCATCGAATGAACTAATTGAACTTATTCAAAAAACCGATAGCACCAGCTCGATAACGCATTTGTTCTGCCACAGCTGTTTCCATATTGTTAAGCAGAATAATAAACAACTAAATAAATTTGTCAAAATGCGCCGACGAGTTGGTCTGGGAGCCATACAACAACAAAAGTTGGCTGCTGAAAAATATAAGGACAAAGGAGCCGATTTGCAAGAATCTCAATTGGAGCAAATGACCAAACAAATGGAAGTTTTTCGTATAAAACTAGAGGAATTTGCCATGAAACACAAAGATGATATCCGCAAGAACTCGCAGTTTCGTAAACAATTTCAGGAAATGTGTGCGGCTATTGGGGTGGATCCCTTGGCTACTGGAAAAGGATTTTGGAGTGTGCTTGGCATGGGAGATTTTTATTACGAGCTAAGTGTGCAGGTTGTAGAAGTATGCCTTGCAGCCAATCATAAAACAGGGGGTCTAATGGAATTGGACGAACTACGTCGACGTCTCATAGCCGCACGTGGACAAAGTGTGCTCCATCAGGAAATAACCAAAGAAGACATACTGATGGCTGCAAAAAAGCTCACTATTTTTGGCAATGGGTATGCGATGTGCCAGCAGTTGAGTGTATTTAATAAATACTATTAACATTTTTTTATTTAACAGTTTCGTTGTGCACAAGCTAGGAAAAGGGAAATATATTGTTCAATCCATTCCGAGTGAGCTAAGCATGGAGGAGACCAACATACTTAGTGTTGCATCTAATACGGAAACTGGTTGCATTACTCAAAAGCAACTTATTAAGGACTTGGGGTAAGCTGCTTTCTGAGCAACGAATTTACAAAGCTAAAAATTAATTTTTTCTTCAGTTGGACCGAGTACCGTGCAAAACAAGCGCTAGAAAAAGTATTGGGTGAAGGCCTTTGCTGGATTGATAAACAATCCGAGGATGAACCGAGCTATTGGTTTCCTAGTTTGTTTCCAGGACGTAACGCACAGATGGTGGTTGCATAGTTAGTACACAGCTTTATTTAAAACTATTTAACATGTACATATACGGCTAGAAATTACAAAATATATAAGCAAATTCATACTAAAAAACTGTTATTTCCCATCTCCGACAGCGCCAGTCAGTAAGTCCTTGTCGGCCTGTAATTCACACTTTTCCTTTTGTAAATTATCTATATGGATCTCAAATCTCTTTGTTAAATCATTCAAAACTTCTTTATAATGTGCTTTTAGTGCCTTGTATGAAAGCATATAGCCCTGTATTTGAGATTCGTAACCTTTTTTACTGCAAACGTACGAAAATTAATCATTTTTGTAATTAATCAGCTTGTAATATTACTCACGATGCTAAATGATGTGATTCGTTTAAGGCACACTGCTCTAGTTCAATTAGACGCTTGTTACAAGACTCCACTTGCATCTCCAACTTCTCGTTCTGACTTAGGGCTTCTTTATATTTCTGACTTAAGCGATTGTTTCGAGACTCAATCAGTTCTATTGCTGTCTTGTGCTTCACCATCTGAGTCTTCATCTGTAACGAGTATGAGTATAATGTATGAGTCTCAGAACAAGTTTTGTAAAAATATATTCGCCTGACCCTTTCACGTATCAAGGCAATAGTTTTGTCCTTCTCAGCTATCTTTGTCTTGAGCTGAGCGACTTCGTTGTCTACACGTTTAGCAGCCTCATCCATGATGGTGCCGATATTAAAGGCCAGATTGCTGGCCTCTTCCTTGTATGATTCAGCAAGTTTCTCCGCTTCATCCTTTTCACGGACAGCTGCCTCACTAATGCCGATCGCATCTTGAACTTTGCGCATTGCTTCGATCTCGCGCTTCTTGCTTTCTTCTAGTAAAGCACGGGTGTGTTGCAAGGATTTCTCATAATCCCTGATCTTCTTTTGTAGACTTGTGAGCTTAGCTTGGTTGTCCTCCCGTGTGACTTCACTATGATATCGGTCCTTTAACTGGGACTGCAAGCGGTCGATCTGCTCACCGCAGCGCTGCTTGTGCTCGTGCAGAGCTTTTATAAGTTTGGCCTGGGTACGAAGTTCCTCCTGTTGCGCAGCTAGCCTGGCCTCCAGCACCTTGATTGCTTTATTATACGACTGCGCCATCTAAAATTAATAATTGATATTATAAACAGGAAACCCAAGAACAATTTTTACCAGAATTAGAATTCACCTGTTCACTATCTCCTTGAGAGAGCTGAGCACGACAACTGTCCAGTTCCGCCTCCATGTTTTTGATAGTGCGCTCTGAGCATTCCTTTAATGTGTTTAAACAATGTTTCTCCTCTTTTAGCGCTTCGATCTGATCCATGGCTTTGGTCAATGCATTGTTCGTCAAATTTAAACGCTCTTGTAGTTTCTCCGAGCTGCTGGACAACACAACTCGCTTATATTTGCCCAGCTCGCCAGTCAATTGACGATTCTCATGTAATACGGTGCTGATGAGCGATCGCAGATCTGATTGCTCCACGCGAAAATTTTTCAAATCCTCGTTTGTTTCCTTAATAAGCCGTTCCACTCCCAAGGCGACCTCGCCGGCACCGCTGCTTGAAAAAAGTTATGAAAAATTAAGATTTATCTGTGCCGACTGAATTCGATGTTCTCATTATTTATGATAATTACTCCCACCTTGGAAACTCAAAGTGTGAAGCCTCCTGCGACATTCTAAACTAACTACAATGTTTTCCTTCCAAGTACCAACAACAAATTTTATATTAATTAAATGCTCCAAGCAGCTGTCTCTACTGTCACTATTTGACAGCTCGAAATGAGCCAAAGCCCTGTCGGAGTTGCCGTGGCAACGAAAAGTGGCAAGGCGCAAACATTAAAATTGGTCAAGAGTTTCTGTCCAATTTGAGTATTCAGTCCTTGCGATGCCGCTCTTTAACAAGAAATTCGAGTCGAAGCCTATACCAGCGCGTGTGAATCGCTGTAATATTGGCTTTCCGGTTGTGAATGAGGACATTGAGGATTTCCGTAACATTTCATTGAGTTTGGGCAACAAGAAGCTACGTTTTGCCGATGGCATTTGGATGCATTCAGCGCATAAGGCAGATGTGGATGACATGCTACGTTTAAACAAGAAATTCCGTGCTCTAGAGGAGGAGAATAATATGTGTAACTTGAAGATAGAAGTTATGCTAGATTTGTTAGCTGAGCATGCCACAGAGCTGAATGACTTGAAGCCAAAGGAGAAGTGTAAGCCCAAGGAACAACTGGTACAAAGACCAATATAATTTACAATTCATTTTATAGAGCGAAACAGCAAGCTGTCATTTCGTAAACTCTAATTGTAATCAAAAGTGTAATAAAAAGTCGAAACTGTAAAAGTTCAATAAACTCGTACTGACTGATTTTTGGTTTCCTTTGGATTATTTAAATAGCCAATTGGGTTCGTTTTGTCCGGCTGATATCTCTCTTATCACAATGCATATTTGTTTGTATTATTTAATCAAGTAGCTAAGGGTCTATCTGTATAATGCTCTAATCATTTCACATGCTCGTTGAAACTTATCTATTGGTAAAGTATTATGCAGAGCACCAACTGCAGCGCCGTGGTCGCCGGGTTGGCTTTGTTGACTAGCCCATTGGGAATTAATTTGGATTTGTTGGGCTAACGTTCGATGAATGGACGGGCGGGCTGGTCAAATTGCTGGCATTATTGACGCCATTGGCCGCAATCTATAGACGACATCGACGGCATCGGGTTGCCGCTTGGCTGCCGCTTGGCTCCCGCTCTTCATTATGGCATTTGATAAGAAGCACGGAAAACGAGAGCCGACAGCCGACAGCCGGCCGACTGCTAACGGGGTTGATAGCCGAATCCACTATGGCAGCTAAAACAAACAATTGACTAGGGTGCGAGCCATTATACGATCGCATAAAATTTACATGCTCTATCTATATTCATTCGTTCTCTCTGTCTCTCTCGTCCTCACTCTATATCTATATGATGCGTTCTTATAGCTAAATTTTGGAACGACGCAAGCGATAAAGCTTACGAACGGAGCCTAATCATTGCCTTCCCATACATGATATGTACATAGCTGTGGCGATATCGGTACACTATATCGACTACTGTATATTTACGCATTTATATTGATAGGCGATAAGCGAAACTGCTTATAAAACACATTTATTTAGTTGTTCCCCAGCAAATGGTAACGACCACGACCACCACCACGTCGGCGACGGCGACAGCGACAACGGCGAGCCGCTCGCTTCCGAAGGGGGTAACACTTGTTCGATTCGTGTATTACAGTAGTTTGTTGATAGCCAGCCGATCGTACGGACGCACACAATACGATCCCAGAGATCGATGTGTCTACAATACCATACGAGTGCTATTTACCTAGTGAAATACAACAGCAATAACAATAGTTAGAGAGAGAGAGAGGGAGAAAAAAAAATAAGCAAACAACAAAATCTTTTCGAAAATAATACAAAAACACATGTACAATAAAATGTTTGCACGCTTTGGTTTTGGTTTTGGATGCGCGCCTTTTGCGAATATGGCAATGTTTTAGCTACGGGCCGCAATTGATTCCGTGATGGAGCATTAGGTAACACAAGACGCCTATATCAGCACAAATTGTCTGCTGCCTCGGCGCATTCATCAAATAAATATATATATGTGCATATACATATTTATATATATATACATACATACATATACTGGCCATATCAGCAAGTTTCGATTTGACGTGCTTCTTGAAGTGATTAAGAACTAAGTTACCAAACAGTCGATCGTCAAAGTCCATCACGATCGTGTGTCCATTAGTTCTGGGCGCCTGTAACTGCGCGTAGTTTTCGTTTTGTTATTGTTTTTGTTTCTTTCCAAAGTGCTTTGCTTGCCATAAACAAATTGTCTATCAAGCAATAGATATTTTGTTGCATGAAACGAGCTAATAAATGATATCATATAAATCAATTGAGTGAATGCCAATCAAATTGGGGGCAACTGTGATAAATCTAACATACAAATGGATCATGCGTCTGGTAGCTGCTATATAAACAGACAATCCGTCGGGCTAGTCGGTCCGTTTAGACAAGTCTATTTTATTGGCATTTGGTGCATCGCAATGCAAATTAGTGTTGAAACGATTAACATACAAATATGTACATATATATAAATATATAACTATAACATATAGTATGAGTCCGTTGACATTACTGTATCATAGTATCAAATCAACATAACTTATGGTTTCATATGCAGAAATAGTATATTCCAAATGCATTATATATCTTATAAAATTCTTTTCTTTTAATTCAGTAGAGATTTTTGAATACAAGTTAGTTTTTCGTATTCTCACAGTATCAATTAGGGCCAGTGTTCAAATTGTTTTGGTTCAAGTGTTTTTCATCGACGCGCCCATTTAGTGGGTAGCGATTTGATAAATGGGCATTATCGCATTTATGATTTATTGTTTTGTATAAATGGGGTCTCTGTCGCTATTCTATGTGAGCCAAGGATTTGAATGTGCATACATACATACATCTATGTATGTATAAGTATATATGCGTCAGTGTGTGTATGTGGGTGTACTCGCACTATTTGTATGTGGATCACCCGAATTAAATGGCCAAGTAAATAAACAAAACCAAAATTGTACACTCAACGGCCGAAAGCGGCCAATAAAATGTGTGAAAAATGTGTGCGAGCAACACTGAGAAATGCAACGTCTAAATAAATAAATACATAAATATATATGTGTACATATATGTATTTATATATATATATATAGATAAACCTGAGCAGCATCGAAACGAGCAGAAAATGTTTACAATTAAATTGAAAAAATAAAATCGATCATTTCGCTGCTAATAGTTAAACTTAATAAGTTTAAGTGTTTCTGAAATATGTTATGATACTACAGAAGAAAACCTATTTAAATATACGCCGATCCGTGAGACTTTAATAAAATATTACAATTTAGCTTAAATTTTTTCACATTCACCAAAATTGAAATGCCTAATATAATTTTAGTTGGTTGAGGAGCTTTAATACTTTTATATAATGCGCAAAGCCGTGTCGAAGCTTTGTTAAAACAAATGCAAATGATGTTGATGACAATAAGTATAATGAAACACCTGCGGCAACAACGCTTTGACGCCATCTGGTTGCTAATTGGATTATGTGGACTGTCCACGACGTTTGCGTACTTTATAGACTATACAGGTGGGTGTACGAGGTTCAAAATAATTATTTTGCAAACGGAGTTCTTGAAGTGATTGTAGAGGCTATACACACTTTGCATACCATCGCGATTCTTGCAACTTGTACCTATTTATCATTTTCGTTTTTGTTTTGCAAGACATTTTGATAAGATTTTTTTTTTTCGCATAATTGAACGAAACAATTTATGATTTCATTCTTAACTGATTGTCTGATTGCATATTTTGGCAGAGAACACAGAGCTGATACAGCAACGTGCCGGCTACGACGTCCGGTTACAGTGCAACCTAACGGGACTGCTGGATGAGCGCAGGCTGGCGGACATTAAGATACACTGGTACTTTAAGGTGAGCATGATAGTCCTTGAGAAAGGCATCGTGAGGCCATGAGGCTAATAGCAATATTTCCTGTATTTATAGCAATGCAGCGACAATAATTGCTACCAGCTGGACTCTGGCGACGATTGGACCGCCCTGCCTTGCGAGTCGACACTCTGTCGCGCCGAGCTGTGGCTGCGCAATGTGACGGAGCGATACTCGGGCCTGTACAAGTGCAGCATCAATCCACATGTATGGGATGCCACTCAGGCGGTGGACGTGCAACTTGTGCGCACCTATCAGCTGGACGTTAAGAGTGAGTGCATCACGCATTGTAGTCGGTTCGGCTCTTAGCTAACTTGTTCATACTCTTTTCAGACAACTCGCTTGCTGCACCAGAGTTCCTGGATGCCTATCCCAGCAATAAGACAGCCATTCAGGACAGCCGAGTGGTTTTTCAGTGTCGTGTGCATAGCGAGGAGCATTTGACTATTAAATGGTTTCGACGGCATGGATATGCAGCATATGCCTCTGCTCCGGATATGCCACATCCCACACAAGGCTCGTCAAATTTTAGTGCTCATATTGTGCGCTACAATGGACGCACATATGAGCTGCTCTCCACATCGCCCGAGAAGCTCGTCAGTCCACAGATCTACCTCAGTAAGCTGATCATTAACAGTGTGAGGGTCAGGGATGCTGGCTACTACGCATGCGTGGCCATTAGCTATCGCGGCCACAAGATCCGGGAGGCCTATCTCGAAGTATTGCCGTCTGACGATGCTATGGAGTACTGGGTGGACTACACCAACAGCGATGAGCTCGTCACTGACGATACCAGCGATCCTCGAGAATTTCTGCTTCTGTTTCTCATGCCACTGGGATTGGCGCTGCTGCCGCTGAGCGTTTGGGGCGGCTATATGCTGTATAAGCGCTGCTCGAAGCATAGCGAGTGCGAACGCATGGAACAGCAGTACTCTGACGAGGAGCTGGATACAGAACGCTATGTGCTCGGTGGTAGTTGACAACGTCGGCTTGCAGTAGTTAGTGTATATGCCCACCAGATGTGGGACCAAAGACTGTGCTTACATTTAAGATGTAATACCTACAATAAATAGCAAATTAGTTAGTCTAAAAACACATATTTTTTAAACGAATAGCACGTCTTGTTTGTATTGACACATTAGTTAGTTCAAAATTTACAATTTTCTATGAAATTCAAAATTATTTCTCGCCTTTCAGTGCCAGCGAATCGTCTCTCACAGCAATCCAGCCCATTGAGCGACTTTTGAGCTGATTTAAGAACATATATATGGTCTAATGATCTTTGAAATTAATCTGTAGTTTCATCTGTTGCGGCATTGCGCGGTGCGCACCTACTTCTTGCCTTAGCCTTAGTGTTGTCAATCAGGACGCGCCCATAGAAGCTGCTGCTATACAGGGGCTATTGTAATTGGAAATCAGTCATATTGAGCACGCCATTGGGAAGTCTTGCGAGCGAAAAAGTGCACGGGGCAGAGCAAAACACATATATATATAGATATATATACAGGAAGTCGGCAGTAGTAGGAGTTCATTATGTCAAGGCACTGTTATCGTACTACCACACTGGAATTTTACGAGCTTGTGGTGCCAGAAGCTCGGGAGTACACCTACGGATCCGTACACTGGCCCTTACATACGGATACCTATTGCGCTAACGGATATTTTTCTAATCTGCAAAACCATTTGGCTATGGCTAACGATAGTGATCAGCATCGTGAGTTTGTCTACGACACTGTTCAGTATCCTCAACAACAAGCCATTTTCGAGTTTGGTCGGCAGGAGGAGCCGCATACCGCATACCTAGCATCTGTTCCCGTTCAGGAAGATCAAACAAAAAATATGGCCAAAGAAGATGAATATGAGACGAGCAACGTAGAAGCCGTAGCTGCAGAGCCAAAGACCACAAATAAGCCAAGGAGAAAGAAAAATATCTATCGTGCAAAACAGGGCTATTTGGTGGAGGAGCCCTCCAGTGAGTCCGAGAACGAGCAGGAAGCTAGTTCGTAGATTTTCGAGTTAATTATATTTATGGATCAATGGCAGGCTTGCCGCAGCGCTTAAAACAACATATCCGACCAACAATCAATTATTTAATCATTGCGGTTGAGTTACGGCAAGAATGATACGTGTCTTAAAAGTCCTGATGCTACTCATATGTATATGCATATATATATTTTTTTCTACTATAATATTTATCTAACAAAACATACACATAAATATTATTTACTGTAACCATTCAGTGTTTCTTCGTTTGTAAAACGTAAGCCTGCTTAAAGAAGTAAATTATATAAACCCAAGCTTGATATATTCTTTTAGTTCACTAAGTTTATAAGGTGGCGGCTTCAATTTCCAATGGGGTCTTTGATTATTAGCACTTGTATGTCAATAGTCTCTCTCTCTCTCTCTCTCTTTCTCGGTTCCACCGTCAATGTCTCCCAGCTCTCGTGCGTCTATGCTTGCTGAGATGCGATTGTTTGATGCTCTTCAATGTGAGTGTGGGAGCGTTATTACACTCTCGCTCTGCTCTGTTCAGTTACAATACTCTTTTGCGCTCAGCGGATTTGCGTCTGTGCTCGTGGTGGCCAAGCTGTCTATCACTGCTTGCTCAGTTGCCGCGTAGTCTTCGTAGTTGTCGGATGTGCGCATGGGGAATATCGGCGCATATGTGGTTAAAGCAATAACAGTTCATATAGCAAATAAACAAATACTATTTTTAGGTTGTGAAAAAATCAAAGTGTTGTAGTGCAAACACCTATATACATATATTAATAAACTGCAGCAGAAAACAAGAAATTATAAGGAATTTTATAGAAAATGTCGCCTTTCGACTGCAAATCACGACGTGGCACCAAAATATCAGTCATATTACTGGGCAGCGCTTTATGCATTGTAATGATGGCTTATTTCGTTTTCGGAGATAGCAACGACGAGCAGGGCTTGAAAAAGCTACGCATGATATCAATTGTGAGCATTAGCCAAGCATCTATCCAATTAGAATGCGCATTTCAACTATTTCATTTACATATGTATGTATGTATGTATGTGCATCGATTGTTTGATTTCTACAGCTGTTCCGCCATGGTGCCAAGAATCCGAGCGGCTTCTATCCCAATGATCCACATGCAGCGCACGACTGGCAGGAAGGCCTTGGTGCCCTCACACAGGTGAGATATAATCACGCAAGCAAAATTCAATATTGCTGAAAGCCTTTAAGTGCATTTTCTCTATTTGCAGAAAGGCAGCTTGCAGTCATACAAATTGGGGCAAAATCTGCGCATGCGCTACTATCGACTGTTGCCATCGAACAGCATTTACACACAGCAGCAAGTGCATGTTCTAAGCTCCGCCGCGGAACGCTGTGTGGTGCGTCAAAGTCAAACAAATTTGTCTGATGATAAGAGAACTGTGTGTCTTATCAGTTGGTAGTTATCTTTTAGATGAGCGCTCAAAGCGTATTGGCCGGCCTGATGCCGCCGCTGGATAATAATAATGTGTTGCCCATACCCTGGCAGCCGGTGGCCGTAAACACCCTAGCACGTAACGATGACATTGTAAGTTTTAACTCGAAATATCCAATTCATAGCTTTAAATTTTTATTTTCTCCTATTTGTAGTTGTTGGCACAGAAAAAGCCCTGCGCTAAATATGAGAGCATACTACAGAAGCTATACAAAAACCCGCCACCAGATCTTGAAAAGTTAAACGAGGAAAACAAGGAGCTATATAAGCTTCTCACAAAGAACACGGGCAAGGTAATTACTCACATCGAATGTTTCCTACAGCAATTCATTTTCACTTTGCAGAACATTTCCAATGTGCTTGATGTGGAAATGTTGTATACCACATTAAAAACAGAAGAGGAAGTCAGCCTTACCCTGCCGGATTGGACTGAGAACATATACCCAGAGGAAATGCGATCGTTGGCTGAACGCAGCTATGCTCTGTTTACCGAAACACATCTCATGAAACGTATCAAGGGCGGTGCTTTTCTCACAGAAATACTCAAGAAAATGCAGAACAAACGCAAAAAGAATTTGAATCCGGATCGTAAGATATTTTTGTATGCAGGCCATGATGTTACCCTGGTGAATGTTATGAACTCAATGGGAATTTTGGATCAGACGGCTAAGCTCCCAGAATATGCCTCGGCATTAGTCTTTGAGCTGCATCACAGCAAATCTTTCGCTGATGGAGATTTCGAAGTGAAGGTATATCAAGGTTTACTTCTATTGCTAATCTAATTAACTATATTCTAATGTATTTAATCTACACACAGCTGGTATACTATTTTAATAGTGAGGACAAATTCCCCAAGGAGCTCAGCATACCCAATTGTGATTCACCATGTTCGCTGAGTCAATTTGCTGCTTCGTTAGAACCACTATTACTAGATAATTACGATGATACCTGTGAAAATCCCACATTTGACTGCAAGAATTAAGATATTTGTTTTTGTTTTTTTTTTTTTTTATTTTCGTTTTACCCCTTGTTAAACATATTTCAAAATGTAGTCAGGTTTGTATGTTATTGTTGAACAATAAACATTAGTATATGTTCAGAGAAAAGTTCTACGAACAAAATTATTAATTCCGACACTTTTTAGTTAAATTCAAAATCTAGACCCTTTATCTTCGGCGTAAAGAAAATAAATAGGTACCTCTTCCGCATCGTTGACTCGAACCATTTCTGTATGGCTTATTAAACGAATGGCTGCAAGTCCATAGAAGAGCATAGGGAGGCCTGTGACAAATACGGATTGATACTCTTACAGATTCTTCTTCCTGAGGGCACTCACCCAAGTTTATAACTTTTAGAAAGCGAAAGAATTTGTCCTCCATCGATAGATCTGCTACCTCACGTTTGCTGCAGTGGTACTTCATGTACGGATAACAGCCTGTGCGTAATATATGGTAATTTGTGCCCGTATCGAGCGTCCAATTGAAGTGCGACATTCCGCGCTGATCGTTTTGAACATCCTTAAACTTTATTCATGGTATTATAGAATATTTGTAGACGTTCGCTCGTACTTTGCTCACTTTAACAAAATATGATGTCCAAAATGGCTCATGGCATTGTTTTAAATAAGCGGTCAGCACTTCTGAGGCTCGAGGCTTCAACAAAACTCGCGTAAGTTGCATTATTAAACAAACGCATCGATTTATTGCATAAAAACAAACAACATACAAACAGCTGTTTTATTCAATTTACTGTACTGGCGTACATATCGATCTATCGATAGTTTCAGCAATAAGCACCATTAAATATACGATAACATTTTCAGATTATCGTTCAATTTGCCCGCGTTTGCTCGGTGTTTTTCAATTTCAAGTTTGCGCAATTGTCCAGTAGAAAATATAATAACTGAGCATTTTAATATGTTACCAATACAAAATGAACGTATGCTGCAATACAAGGCTGGATCTGATGAACGTAATCAGGTGAAAGCTGAACTTAAGGCAATTCTTAATAAAATAGAGCCGGTCCCAATCGTAATAAACGGCAAGGAAATTTTTAAGAAATGTGAGCTTGCGCAAATAATACCTTACAATATAGAACATTTTATTGCACGGTATGACTCCAGAAAAATATAAATCCAATATCTATGTATTTTAATCGCCTAATTTCAAATCATATAGTTACTCCCACGCAAATAGAGAATTAATTGACCGGGCTATCAGTTCGGCTACTCAAGCGCAGCAAAAATGGGATAAAACGACGTTAAGGGAGCGCATGGCCATTTGGGAAAAGGCTGCTAATTTAATTGCTACGAAATATCGTTTTAAGATTGTGGCGGCAACGATGCTTGGTCAGGGGAAGACTCTCTGTCAGGCGGAAATGGATCTCGTGGAATTGGTGGACTTCATGCGCATCAACCCTATTTTCCTACGAGACTTAGCCAATTACGAGCCAGTTAACGGCCAACCAGAGTCGTGTCGCAACCATATGGTGTTACGGGGGCTTTCTGGATTTGTAGCCGCCATCAGTCCATTCAATTATACCAGCATCGCTGGCAACTTGGCGTATACACCGGCCTTAATGGGCAATGCTGTGCTCTGGAAGCCTTCAGATTCCGCTGTGTTGTCAAACTGGTATGTGTTCCAGGCTATGCGAGAGGCAGGCGTACCTGAGGGAGTTGTTAACTTCGTCCCAGCTGAGCCAACGATATTTTCCACGGCCATTACTTGTAACCCTGACTTGGCGGGCATTCACTTTACCGGTACTTCTGCGGTGTTGAAGTTGCTTTGGAAGATGGTTGGACAGCGTATTGATACTTATAAGAACTATCCTCGGTTAGTTGGCGATTGTGGTGGCAAGAACTTTCACTTCCTGCACCCGTCGGCAAATCCAGAAGTTGCTGTAGCCTGTACCGTGCGCGCAGCGTTCGAATATGCTGGCCAAAAATGTTCCTCCTGCTCTATGCTGTACGTGCCCGAATCATTGTGGAAGACGAAAATCGAGAAACCACTGCTGAGGATTACCAAACGGCTGTTTGTTAGCGATGCAACCTACTGTGACTGTTTTTACTCGGCGCTCATTGATAGGAAGGCATATCATCGGCTTTTCACATATCTCAAGTACATACATAACAACTCCGAATGTAAAATGTTAATTGGCGGAACTTGCTCCAAGGGCCGTGGCTACTATGTGGATCCCACCATTGTGCTTGTTGAAAATCTCGATGACTTTCTGTGCAAAGAGGAACTGTTAGGACCCATTCTATGTGTCTATGTCTATCAAGACGAGAACTTATATAGGATTATGGATAAAATTACTGAAGTGAATCACGCTCTAACAGCTTCGATCTTTGCCCAAGACAATCAGTTTATTCGTAAAGCATGCGAGATCTTCAAGTCTAATGTGGGCAATCTTAACATAAATGATAAGTGCACGGGTCTAATGGTTGGTCAGCAGCCATTTGGAGCTGGTCAGTTAACAGGCAGCAATGAGAAGCTGGGTAGTCCACAATATTTACTACGCTGGACATCGCCGCAGGTCATAAAGGAGTCATTCGTTCCACATGTCAACGTCTACTATCCATATATGGAGATCAGCGACAATATATTAAATATTAATAAAGAAACGACTGACGTTGACTATAATAATTCTGACTCTGATGATTATTACATCAAAAATCCTGAATAAATTCTTAGTTTGACATTGTAACTTTATTTTCGTTGTTTTATTAAATTGTAGATTTTTGGTCAATTGGTCAGTTAGAGATTGCCTATGGCGACTCCTAATTCTCTACGTATATATTCTATAAAAAATCACCTTGTTGTGAGTTAAATGTCTAATTCGACTTATAAAATTTACAATTTACTTTTGGTGATTACCAGATGCTCGACTTAAATTCGAGGCACAAAATGAAATGTCTGGCTGGCATGATCGGCAGCACGAAGTTCGAATAACAACTATATACCTGTTGCTGCTCCTCTCGATTCCAAACGCAACCGCCGATAGCAAATCATTTTTAAGCCCCTCCAACGCTACGACCAAATGGAAACGAAACAACAAAGTGGATATACCCCGCCTCTACACCGCATACAGGGTGCTATTGCAGGATGGTGTTGGCGGCGGCGGCAATGCCAAAATAGAGGTGGGTCAGATAGGCAAACGAATAGCTGTAGCAGAGGAGGACGACGAGAGTTCTATTAGTAAAACCACAGTACCTCTTAAAGGAAATTCGGCAGTGAATAATACAGAGAAAGTAATTAGTTTTATTAAAGATCTAAGGTCAAAGGAAAAGGGTTTGAGTTCCTTCGATTACAACAACACAGAAAAGGCTAAATGTGCGCGGGTCGAAAAAATCAAGGATGTTGAGGACGAAAAGAGTGGTAAGGAGAAGTCAATAGAGGATCTGCCAGCTGCTCACGGCATGGTTATACTTAAAATGGATGAGCCTTCGAAGACCAAAGGGGAAAATGCTAAGAAGACTGAGGCAGCCAAAATACAACAAGCTAATATTGATGAAATGGAGAATCGGTTAGCCGAATTAAATAGAGTCTATCAAAAATATGTGAATGTGTGGAAAAGACCAACACCAGAGACAAAGGGGTATACCTTACTTGGTAATAAGAACGCACTTCCGGCTACTAATGTTCGCTTAAGTGCATTAGACGCACTTGTCGACGTTGTAGAGACTCTCAAACAATCAAATCCGGTTGATGAAATAGTTAAAGCCATAAATGACGAAATGAACCCAGAAACGGAAAGTCTTGTAGGCTCGATCAAATTAAATGTCAACGACTGTTTAGCACCATCTAGCCAACAAGGGAAAAACAAAATAATTAGCGATCAGTCCTCGAATGTGGTCAAACGCCTAGTTCCAAAAGTGTCCCCTGATGTGAAAACTGGCGGTCTCTATGAAGAGTATAAGAAAAAACTGAATGATATATTGCAGGCACACAAGAATACCCACAAGGCCCTAAGCGAAGAACAAAGACTACGCGCTCAAAGTAGCGCAGCCGTAAACGCCAATACGTTGACCCAATGCCACTGCGATGCCACAAAGTCCGTAATAATAGCCGTCGATAGTGACGGACAGACAGTGACTAAAGAGCAAACGCCATGTTTCTGTGAGGCCACCAGGCCAACCAACTTGGCCATCGACGGTGATACGGTCACAATATCCAATGGGTTAATACCCTGCTACTGTGATGGCATGAAGAGCGACAATTTGGCTGAAGTGTTTTCAGATGGCCAACCAGGTAAATCCATTGTATATATGAAGGTGCCGGAGTCAGAGACACGTGGACAGCAGCCGAACAAGGAGAGCCAGATGAACGGTGGCCTAAAGCCATATTATTTATCTAACTCCAAGCACAGACAGATGGTCTGGAACGATGTGCCTCTGATGAGGCCCGGCAGTCGACGGAAGGGTGATCCAGTTATCCAGCAAATAATGACGGTACCGAAGCGTGGACCTAACCAGCCTGTAGTCTGCGTGAAAAATAGCCAGGACTCGATCCCATTGAGAAACAATTTGACACATTTACCTTCATTTACCAAGAACAAAAGCAAGCTTCACCATATAATCAGAGTCTTGCAGACCAAGCATCGTCCAGGAATTAAGAGAAAAGCCCAGAAGCGTGGCTTAAATAACCGCTACGATGGCATGTCTGCCAATTTGGCATTTCCGGAGGTGCTCGTTCAAAAATTTGGGCAACCACAAGAGACTGGCGGAAAACTTATTGAGAATATGGCAAAGCAGTTAAATGTATCGCCTGTGGAGATGGCTCAGCGCATTGCTTCATCCAGTGGTATGGGCAGTGGACAGCCAATGGCCACTGGCATGTATCCAGGACAGTCGCCCTTAGGTAAGTAATTGGTTGATTTATCGTGTGCTTGTCTTACAAAGTTTTTTAAAAAGCAAGCCAGACCAACCGGGTCCAAGTACCAATGATGGCCCCAAACCTTAATAATCAACAAGGACAGGCAGATGGAAATATGGCATTCGTGTTGGAAAAGATTCTAAGTCGATTACAGAGCATGCAAGATGCCAGCTCTAATCAGGGATCCACAGAGAAGCTACCTTGCTGCTTTGCAGAGCCATCTGACGGTTAGCAAAGTGCTAAGGTTTGAAATGAACAAAAAGTTTCTTTAAATTCTATTCGTATCAGGTGCTCCCTGTGAATTAACAGGGTCCTGGGAGTCAGCTTTGTTGGGCATACGTATCAACATAAGAGACGATAATAAAATCGTTGTGGCCGAAGTCAAGCCCACCTGTATGCAGCCCAAAGTTCGACGTTCTGAAACCAATCGACTTTGGCGGCAATGCGTGAAAGTGACTCCGGCGGAGATCAGGGATCGCTTCAAGTCATCGTCAACAGCTTTGAACAGACCACTTAATATTACCATTCAGGACACGGTTCCACCACGCCAACACGAAATGCTGGAAAATCTTGCAGAGTGGATATTCACTGGTAGTTCGGTCAGCATCTTAGGAGGGCCCATGTTGGTCACCTGCCAGAATGTGAACACCAATTTGATAGGTACCTTTGTGGGTTTTTGTCGGAGATGTGGCTGCATTGATACCATATTCGGTAGTTGGACTTTCTGTCACCCATCACGAGATTGTCAGGATATAACGATGTCGATATTTGAAAGACGAGATATCTTGCGTCGTTATACATTAGACGATGCTCGAAAGGAACGATTAAAAGAGCATTTATATAGCAAATCCAAAAAGCCATAGAGAACCATAGGGACGCATTGTTAAATGATTAAGAAATTAGACACACACACATATATACATATACATATTTTGTTTCTATTATTTTGTAGTCATTTATTTTGATATATAAAACGTTTAGTTTATTAACTTTAAAGCTGCTGGTGTTTGTGACGGTTGATAAATAACATGGCATAACCAATGGAACGCTTTACACAGTGCTCGTCCATGTCATTTCCTGTTTTGCAGTCCCTCAATTCACCCACAACATAGTCCACAATCCTGTTTTTCACCTGCTCGTCGTCGATGCGCTGCAAACGCTTTTCAACTTTGTGGATGAGTAAATAGGCTTCAGGATAATCAGCCACATCACAGGGCCACATATCGGAGTGCCTGTGAGTCCAGCTGGGTCTGACTTCATCACTTGAAATATAATCCTGGGATTGACGCCAGGTGCCGGCTTGAGCTAGCGCCAATGAACAGGCGAACAGTACGATGCACGAGACACGCATTATGTAAAATTAATAAAGGGCGTAATTCAACTAGTGATTTAAGGTACAGACATTTCAGTTTATATAGGTGTCAAGCAGAGACTATATTGCTGAATTTGCAACTCTTTGTTTTGTTGGTGCTTTGCACTTTGAGTGACCGATTTCGTTTTTGCTAACAGTTGCACTTCTTTTCATGAGTGTTTTAAAAATTTCGATTAGCGCGATTATTTCTTATAATCGATAAGAATGTTGACTATCGACAGCAAAACAGCTGTTCAAATGTCATTGGCAAGCACTAGAAATAGCAAATTTGGCAACTCTGAATAAAAAGAGTCCAACTAGAAGAAGTGGGAGTTGCATTTGCTTAATTAAAAACAAACAAACATAAATAATAGGTCTGCTTCGTCCAGAAATAAAGTGCAAATGCAAGCAAAATGGGTAATCAATTGGTTGGCATTGCACCATCGCAGATCTATGCAGTGGAACACTATTTTTCGGGCCAGTTCGGCAATGAAATTATTTTCGACTTGAAGTAAGTATATATTTAACAGCTGGTTATTTATTATGCATAAGTGTATATGTATGTGCATATATGACGTCTTACCCATCCACAGTATGGGAAGTACTCGATTTTTCAAAGTGGCTAAAGCTAAAACTGAAGAGGGATTGATAGTGGTCAAGGTATTTGTCAAACATGATCCAACATTACCTTTGGAGGATCATAAAGAACGCTTGGAGAGCATAAAAAAAACTCTTGCCAATGCTGTTAACTGTTTGCCTTTCCAGCGAGTGGAGGTAAGTTCATAATAAAATGATGACGTTAATACAGACGTTAATCAGTTTTCATCCCAGCTCATTGACAAAGCAGCCTACATAATGCGGCAGTACGTTAAGCATAGTCTATACGATCGCGTTTCAACGCGACCTTTTCTCACTGTGCTGGAAAAGAAATGGATTACATTCCAGATTTTATGCGCCCTGAACCAGTGTCACAAACAGAAAATCTGTCATGGCGATATAAAGCTTGAGAATATATTGATTACCTCTTGGAATTGGATTCTGTTGTCAGACTTTGCTTCATTCAAGCCAACATATTTACCAGAAGATAATCCAGCGGACTATACTTATTTCTTTGATACGAGTAGACGTCGCACTTGTTATATAGCTCCAGAGCGATTTGTCAAGACTCTGTCTTCTGAAGATGATCCTTATAATGCAAATATGTCCGTTATACATTCGGATTCTATAATACCTGTTCCCACATCATATGCAGGCAACACATTACAGCCCGCAATGGATATATTTTCTGCTGGGTTAGTAAGCCAATTTTTTCGATGAATCGTAATATATGTATTTCTATTTGCAGCTGTGCCTTGCTAGAGCTTTGGACAGAGGGCACTGCCCCATTTGAGTTATCACAATTGCTCGCCTATAGGCAGGGCGAACGAGATCTTGTTGAGAAGCATTTGGCTGGGATTGAAAATGAGCGACTGCGTAATTTACTGGCATCCATGATAGACATTAACTCATTAAATAGGAAAAGTGCAGAAGATTATTTAGATCAAGAGCGCGATAAACTGTTTCCGGAGTACTTTTACTCATTTTTGCAGTCATATTTGCAAATGTTCTCATCGACTCCAATTATGTCACCGGACGATAAGATACAGTGTTTGCACAAGGACATTGGTCACTGCATTAAGGTGCTGACAAATGTACAGGACTTGACGCCCAGTGAGGAAGACAAAGAAAACATAGAAAAGAAAGACCCGGTGAAGTGTGAGCGGCTACCGCCAGAGCAAGATGGTCTTATACTAATCATAACAGTAGTTACCTCTTGTATCAGGGGTCTCAAACAGTCTAACACGAAAATCGCTGCATTACAGCTGCTGCAAAAGTTATCGAAGTATACCACATCGGAGACCATACTGGATCGTATATTACCCTATATTGTATGTCATTGACTATTTATCAAATTTATAATCTAATGTATGTATATTCTTTGCAGCTGAATCTGGCTCAAAAGTCGCCAGCCAAGGTGCAAGTTCAGGCCATCGAAACGTTGACTGCGTGCCTGAGCATGGTAAAGGACATTCCACGCAGCGATGCCAATGTGTTTCCGGAATACATACTGCCCTATATCGCAGACCTGGCCAGCGAATCGAGCGCTGTCATCGTACGTGTGGCCTTTGCTCGCAATATTGCAGCATTAGCTAAAAGTGCTGTATATTTTCTGGAGGAAACACAGCGAAATGCACCAAATGAAATGCCCACGCCCCGCTACGAGGCGGAGTTGAATGCATTGCACGATATTGTTCGCCAGACGGTGTTAAGTTTGCTGACGGACACCCAACCCATTGTCAAGCAGACCCTGATGGAGTCTGGCATATGTGATTTGTGTGCATTCTTTGGCAAAGAGAAGGCAAACGACGTGATACTCTCGCACATTATGACGTTTCTCAATGACGAGGACAAGAATCTACGAGGCGCATTCTATGACAATATTGCCGGTGTTGCCGGCTATGTGGGCTGGCAGGCATCGGATATACTAGTGCCACTGTTACAGCAAGGCTTTACGGATCGCGAAGAGTTTGTCATTGCAAAGGCCATACGCGCGGTGACAATCCTAATAGAATTGGGACATATAAGAAAGCCTACCGTGACTGAGATTGTCAAGGAAACCGCCTGCTATTTGTGCCATCCAAATTTGTGGGTTCGACATGAGATTTGCGGCATGATTTCGACCACAGCCCGCAATTTGAGCGCCATTGATGTGCAATGTAAGATTATGCCAGCTATTGGAAAGTTCTTAAAGGCGCCGCTCATACAAGTGGATAAACCGCACATTCTACTAGACTGTTTGTTTCCGCCCATACCCAGGCAAATTTATGACAGTGTGCTGCGCTTCCAGGATATTCAATGCTTTGTTGGTGCTCTTGAAGATCGCGCGCGTTTGCGTGAAAATGCACGAAACGGTGCACAACCACAATATGATGAAATGGGCAGACAGATCTATGATGCAGGGCAACGCTTGGAGGACATTCAATACTTTGTAGGTTCTGCTGTAGATCGTGCACGCTGGAGAGGAATTACACGCCCTGGAGTCCAGCCGCAATTTGATGACATGGGTCAGACGCTGCTCAATGTAAGTGCTTTGGTAATTTTGGTCGGTCCTATTGAACCACTCACATTTCCAAAACACTACAGCTCTTTCGACGCCTCATATCAGAGGGATTAACGGAGACCATTGAGATGCAATTGTTGGCAATGAAACCTTTTCTAATAGACCTTAAGCACAAGGCTCAACAAGATATCGATGATGGCAATTCAGCCAATGGGCGGATTCTGGTCAGCCGCAAGCACGTTGCCTGCCACGAGTATCCACTGGCGGAAAAGGCAACAAAATTGACACTGGACAATCGTAAGAGTTGAAAGGAATCCAATTTGGGTATTTTCTTATAAGTATATCTATCATATAGGAACTTCTCATGATACGCATGCACAAGCGGTAGTTTCACCGGCTTCAGATGCGGGTGTAACTCCACACATAGCTGGTGGTTCCTCCGGCAGTCCGGCATCCGGCGCCATGTTACTTGGAGTTCCTCCAACAACAGTGAGCGCCGCCACTTCGTTGGGAGAATATACCTTGCCGGATCGTAACTATTCATTGGAGCGTTCGTCTGAGTGTTGCAAGGATCTGGAGTCGCTGACTCTCAAGATCAAGCGACGCTACAATGTGCTGGCACTCTCACAGCGCTGCAACTATGATAAGCTGGTCACGCCGTATCCACCGAATTGGCGCCTAAACGGCACATTGGTGGCACATCTACATGAGCATTCTGAGTCGGTGATTAAGCTAGCGCCACTGCGCCCGGATGGCTCGTTGTTTGCTAGCGGCAGTATTGATGGTACTGTCAGGTTGTGGGACTGCAGCAAGCTAAATGGCAATCAGGGAATTAACAAATCGCGCCAGGTATATTCTGCCCATACGCCTGTTTATGCATTAGCTGCATGCGATGCTGGGCAGTCACTGGCTGTGGGTGGCAAGGATGGCAGTTTGCTTATAATGCGCATTGACCGTAATTCCACTAAGATGACGCTGCAGCAGGCCTTGGATCAGAAGTAGTTATTTACCAACCTTTTGTTGCTCATTCGACCTAATCATCTTTCTCTTACTTTGCAGTGAATTTAATGATGGCCCCGTCGTGGATATGCATGCATATGACCAATCGGCGCAGAGCGTAATCGTCTATGCCACACTCTATGGAGGAATCGTAGCTTGGGATACTCGCATGCAGCACAGCGCCTGGCGATTGCAGAATGAGTTGCGTCATGGCGTTATCACCACCATCTGTGCAGACCCAACTGGCTCCTGGCTGGCAACGGGCACCAGTGGTGGCAAACATATCTGCTGGGACCTGCGTTTCCGACTACCCATAACTGAGATAAAGCATCCGGCTGATTCTTGGATAAGAAAAGTTGCCTGCCATCCGACAGAGCCATCGTATCTAATCTCAGCATCTCAGTCCAATAATGAGGTATCGGTTTGGAATATTGAGACCGGTCAACGACAAACAGTGCTGTGGGCAAGTCCAGCGCCCGTCTTAACCAATACCACTCAAAATGACCCAGCCACAACTTGCGGTATATTGAGCGGAGTCGTTGACGGATCGCCGTTCATCTTAACAGGTAGCTCGGACCAGCGCATCAGGTACTGGGATATAGGTTCACCAAGGAATTCGGCTTTGAAGGTGCCAGCTTCGAATGATAATTTGGCAAATGTGTCTTTTAACTATAGGTATGTTACAGTGGCTCCATTTTCTGTAACCGATTGAATATTATATATATATCTTTGCGTCTTTTAGCGCCCGTCTTATCGACGGCAGTCAGGTGATTGAGGAGCAAATCATTCCCAAAAATAATATAGGCGACTCGCAACAGATGCGCGCTTCAATAGAGGAAAGTCCAAGATCGGGACCCGATATGCCTAAAGCAAGTCATCACGATGCCATCACTGACTTGCTCATGTGCAAGGATAAGGGCCAGATATATATAGCGTCGTCGTCGCGCGATGGTGTTATCAAGCTCTGGAAGTAGACAACGCTTATTTAAACTCTTTTTATCTGTGATTAGTCTAATTAAACTAAATAAATAATCAATGTCTGCATAAATGTGCGTTAAATTCAAATTCTTTGATGCATTATTGTGCTGTGGATCGTAAGACATTAAATAGAGTTGCCAGATCGGTGTGTAATGAAATCTCTGTGTGCTTCCGAACTACATTCCAAACGTTTTTGGCGTGCTGGCAACGGTACATATCTGAAAGCATAATGACAACCCTGGAAATAGACGCTGCAACCAACTTAATATTCTGTGACATCTGCAGCTGGCGCTGTTTTTCGCTTTTGTATCTTTGCAAGCGCCGTTATGAACAGAGCGGCCTAGCGCCATAATTCCAAGTGAAAAGTGATATTGTGAGGCAAATAGAGAATGAACAATATATATTAAATATTGCTCACAATAACAACAAATCATTTCAAACATCACAACGAAGCGCGAAAATAAGTCAAAGTACCAAAACTTAAAATAGAAAATAATAAACGCTCGGCAATTACATCGCGCACGCAGTCGCTGTGTAGCAGGACAAAAACAACAACAACATTAGCAGAAGCAGAAGCAGTAACAGAGCCAGCGCAAACGTAGAGACATTTCAAAATGGCGCCAATTAAAGGTACTACTCGAACTGCTGCAAGCAACCAGGGAACCATAAACGCACTTCTGCCGATGGCAGCCGTACGAGGAAAGGGTTTGACCCGTCGGCAGGCCAACAGTGTAATTGATCCAAATGCGGAAAATATGCAAACGCGTGGTAAGCGCAAGGCCGACCATAGCCCCATTAAGAATGATAAGATCAAGCGCTCGGCGCTGGGTAATTTGACCAACAATGTTAAGATCATGACGCTACATCCGGGCGACGAGGACACCCAACAGCAGATGCCAAAAAAACCGACGGCACAGCAACTGCAGGCGCTTCTGGATGCAAAGAAAAATGACAATTCAAATATTTTAGCCGCTGTCGCTGCTCCAGCTATTGCTGCTGCTTTGCCCAACAAAATAATGACGCGCGCCTCATCCAAGTCAGAGGATTCGGTGGAGAACTGTCACAGAGCGCTGGACAGATTCGAGGAGGCGTTGGCTCTAAAAAGGACACGTAAGCCGCCAGTGGCACAAAAGAAACCAACCACAGTGATTGCTGAGCAGAAAATTGCCGCTGCGCAGGCGCCAGTTGTTCCCAAATTGGCTGCACCTCATCCGGCAGCTGCCATAAAGGTGCGACGCATCTCAAATGACTTTAATAAGACTGAGGAGAGCCTCTATATGTCCGCACTGGAGGACATCTCCAGCTGCGATTCCATGCGCTTGTCCGGCAATTTCGAGGCAGCGCGTCGCCTCTCTGCTAAATTACAACTAAAGACTGAACAGCCAAAGCCAGCAACGGTGCAGGAGCAATCGGCGCTAACGGAGGCAGCATCCGATGCTGTGGTCAGGCCTGTGACTCCCGTGCCAGACGATGTGGAGGACTTTGATCGCAAGAATTGGGATGATCCCTTCCAGGTGTCCCATTATGCAAGGGATATTTTCAATTACTTGAAAACGCGCGAGCCAGAGTTTCCCATTACCGATTATATGCCTAAACAGACCCATTTGACAACCTGGATGAGAACCCTGCTGGTCGACTGGATGGTTGAGGTGCAGGAAACATTTGAGCTGAACCACGAGACTCTCTATTTGGCTGTTAAAATTGTCGATCTCTATTTGTGCCGTGTGGTAATTAACAAGGAAAAGCTGCAACTACTGGGGGCTGCTGCCTTCTTCATTGCATGCAAATATGATGAGCGCCAGCCGCCGCTAATTGAGGACTTTCTGTATATATGCGATGGAGCCTACAATCACGACGAACTGGTGAAAATGGAAATGGAAACGCTGCGCACGATTAACTACGATCTCGGCATTCCGCTCTCCTATCGCTTCTTGCGTCGCTATGCTCGCTGTGCCCAGGTGCAAATGCCTACACTCACTCTAGCGCGCTACATCTTGGAGCTCTCGCTAATGGACTATGCCACCATCAGTTTCAGTGACTCGCAAATGGCCTCGGCCGCTCTCTTTATGGCACTGCGCATGCATGGCGGCACCGCCAACCTGGACAATAAAACCTGGACATCGACTTTGATCTTCTACACGGGCTATCAGCTGGCCGATTTTGCTGAAGTCATTCCCGTGCTAAATGCTGGATTGCACAGGAAGCCGCGGGCCACCATTAAGACGATACGGAATAAGTACTCGCACAAGATATTCCATGAGGTGGCCAAGGTACCGTTGCTCAGCAATGTCGAGCTATTCCAAAGCAATCTCGATCTGAACGACAGTAACTTATCCACCTGAGCCACACAATAGCGGGCTTCACACTGTTGCAACGCCAACTAGCCAAATTGATAATGAGCAGCAAATGTTACGCTTCACTAGATATATAAGACGCTTCAATCATTGATACCCTTAGATATGCCGACCAGTCAAAATATCCATTCTAATAGCAAGATCATTATATTTTTATTTCATATTCAAATTACTTTGTACTCTTTATTGTTTGCTTTATTATTGGCTTACATGTATGACTTTTTCCATAAAATTTATGTTTCGCATGCTGATTGTTTCAATTTATGTTTATTGTTTACACCTTTATTATTTACATACATACATATATATCAAATTACATACGCCTCCATTAAGCAGGACAGCAAACCTTTGTCACCCATCTATTTAAATGTATGCTATTTATAGTCTGGAGAAACCCTTAATAAATCTTACACATACTTTAAGCAAGTGCAACGCCAATGCCGTTTGATGATGGTGGACACCAAAGCTGACATGGATAACACGTGTTTACACTTAATGCCATACGGATCCCTACACGTCTAGTAGTACTAACAACTAACCGATGCCAAATGCCCTATGCAGGTGATGGCCCATTATCATTTATGTATGTTATGTTGTAGTTGTTGCAAAATGATGATTTCTTTTGTTACCATTTACGACTTTATGTCTTAGTTTGTAATGGCGAAAAGAACTTTCTATTTTCTAAATAACTAGTTATGTATGTATTCGTATTCCATGTTATCTATATATATACGTATGTACGCATGTATGTATGCAGGTATGCTGGCGAGTCAAGAAAAACCAATAAACAATATTAATGCCCATTCAAGAAATTGCATGTTCAGTGTGGGGAAATTAGAAAAACTTCTAGGTAACTAAATCTAGCCTTGTGTATCCACATATATATCTCTTTATGTATATATTTGTAGCTGAACAGCCATTTGGGACAGCTCTAGTTTCTATTGTTTTCGTTCAGGTGAGTCTAGCTGACACACACACACACACATACAAACACATATCAATAATCTATGTTTTTGATTTCAGGGTCTGAATTTTTTTCATTTTTTTTGGCGCGCCCGTCTGCACATTTTAGCGCCAAATTATTTTGGGTTTTGGTTGGCAGGCTGCGCATGCGCCGCAAGACATCAACCTCTTCCCGTTCCCGTTGCCGTAATCGTCTTTGTCCAACAAATCACTGCATACATAACCAATTTATGCCGCTGCAGTTGAGCCTGAAAAAGGGCAGGCAGCAGCAGCAACAGCAGCCGCCTGTCTGTCTCCTTGACGTTTTCTACCACCTTTCCTTGTCGGTCGTCGGTTGTCGGTCGTCTGTCCTCTGTCCTCCTGCCATTGTGCGCCTGTACTTCATTTTTTTTCGGCTGCCAGGGCTGCCTTCAGCCAGGTAGTTCAATGTTCATTGTGTGCTTCCTCAACAGAAATAGTGAGGCAACTGAAATGCATGTTTCTTTTTTCCGGTTCGCAAGGTAGGGTGCCTTTCTTATGTGCGTATAGGACAAAAGGCCAAGTTGTCCTCGTGTTGATGTCGTCCTCTTATTTTTCGTGTTCCTGCTGCTGCTGCTGCTGCTGCCGCTGCTTAAGGTGCAACCGGGGTATATTGCTAATTACTTCGGTTGAGTGTGGGCAAAAAATCAAGTTTATTAAAACAGACTCGGCCGAGCAGCTGCTGCTCTTCTTAAACCTGACACAGTGAGGTTAGCTTACACCTAACTTATGACCATAACTTATAATCTTTCTAGCGTTTAGTTTTTCAGTAACCTGGCCTGTTGAATGCGCCATTGTAGCCGCCTCCAAAACCACTGCCGTAGCCCTGCGAGCCGTGATTGTTCAGTACGCTGAAGGGTCCCTTGTGTACTCCATCCTCCGAGTACTCAGTTTTCATTCTGAATCTGCGATCCCAACGATCATGTTGTCCTGGTGCCGCTTGTGGTGCATAATTTTGCTGATTCTGATAGCTTATGGGTGGCGCACCTGGATGCGCTATTACAGGTACGTTCGGTCCATAGTTTGGATAAGATGGATAGGATGGATACTGTGGTAAGTATTGTCCTGGATACGGGTAAGCAGGAAGTACGGGATATACGGGTTGTTGGTTTCCATAACTTGGGTATACGCCTGACGGATTGACTCCAGGACGAGGCAGCACTTGCGGATTTCCATTAGCTGCATATCCAGGAAACTCTGCAGTCTGTGGTTGTCCAAGAACGCTTGTGGGATGATTTGAAAAGCCATTCGGCTGTGGCGGTGGATTTCTCACGGCAGTTCCATACGGGCCAGCGCGAAGATCGATGGCATTAGTGCCCCTGCCGCCGTTCTCATGAGCGGACGGCTCATCAATATCAGCTGACCTACTTGATTGCTGCCGTAGATCCGGATATAATTGCGAGTTAAGGTTGGCACGCTCATGATGACGACTGCTGGTAATTCCGCCTTTGAAAGTGGAGGCCAAGTTGAATTCGGTCTTGGAAGCTTCGTTGCTCTCATCTCGCGAATAGTGTGACGCATGAGTCAGGACAGCGGTCAGGGCCAGCAGCAGCCAAGCAAAGGCAACGCAGCACCGCATAGCGAAACTTCTCGTGAAACTGGAACTTACCAGTGAATGCCAAGCTTATTTACCCCGCGAGATTAGATGATTCTATAGCAATGTGGGTTATCGTCCGGGTCAGCTGCTAGACTGAGACGATTTGTGTTTCATTGAGGAGTAAATAAGCAAATTCGCTGATGTTTACAAATCCGAATTATGGATTCTCTGATTCATATTTGAAACTTATTTCTAATATCTCCAAGCTTTGAGCTCAACAAATTAAATAGAAAATTAAAATATTTATAAGGGAAGTAATATAATGTCGACATAACAGGGCGTTTTATGCATTGGAAATATTGATTTTACTCTATGGGAAATTCCATCTAATATGTTTGGCCAAAAATATGGTTGGGTTGGCTAAACCTTGACTTCGTTGAGCAAAATAGACAACGCATAGACCTGATACCCACCATGCGATTGACCTATTAACGATAGGGATCATCAGCTCTATTGAAGGCTGTTCATTCAGTAAACACGTATATATGTTGACTATCAGCTATATAAGCACGATTCTCGGCAGAGTAAAGCGTCATACTGATTCTCAATACTAGCAAAGATGCAGCTCAACATTGGATTCTGCTTCCTGCTGCTGGCGGTTCTGCTGACTGCGCAGGCAAAACCTACATTCGATAAAATGGCCGAAGTGCTGCTGGATGTGCTGGATGATAGGCCGCATTACGTCAGACCGAGGCCATATGGACCAGTTCCTTCGTCTGGCCCCCTCATACAGGAGGGCTACGATCATGGCTACGACTATTACTACGGCGGTGGCGGAGCTTATGTCCACGGCAGTGGCGTTAACGTTGGCAATCCCTATGCGCAACCTCCTCCTGCGTATGGCTACTATGGCCAAGGACCTGTACATGGACCAGTGAAGGGCTACTATCCCGAGCCACACTATCCACCGCATGGCTATGCTCCCGCTCCTGCATATAGACACGAACATGGCCATGGATATAACAGAGTTGAAGCTACGGGTGGCTACAAGCACCACGGTTATTAGCGTCAATGTGTGATGATACATATTTAAGGAACTCATAATCTTAAGTACTAATATATTATTTATTTGAATGATCAGCATTTCTCAATAAATAATTTGTTGTTATTTCGGAACTTGAGTAAACTCGTAAGCTGTTTCAGGGAGAACATTGAACTGCAAGAACTTTGTACCCATCGAAAATGGATAGATCTGCAAAATAATATTCCCCCTAAACCAAATTCACAAAGGGACCCTCTAGTATTTTAATATATGCTGTATTTAATTTACAATTATTGGTATAATACTAATTTAAATATAGCTTTATGTCTCTACTTATATCTACATAATTTAAATAAATATTTTCCTATTTGCTTGTAGCTTCGTAGCTGTTTAGCAGCTTGAAAAACCTGTTTATATACCTCATAGTCTCCAGACATAAAAAGCCGAACATGAGTATGAATCTCTGAGAGCACTGAGCCGTGCGAATATACAACTTTATTTGTGCTTATTAAACTGCAAATCTTCTATAAATATAAATGTATAATTAATATCTTTACTTAGTATAAGAGGCGGTGCTCGGGATTGGCTAATCTAACGCTTCGATCATTTTCGTCTGCGCACATCTATAGGCTCAGATTGAAGCTCCTGGCTTGGACTATGGATGTAATTCAGTGAGTTGGGAAAAACAATGTCGCGCAGTCGGGATAACTCAATCGATCGAGGAGATGGCGTTGTTGTTGTAGGTGGTACCAGGGGTGGACGATTTGTGCCCACGATCAGCGTGTCTCCTTGTCTCGGAGGCGGAGTGGGCGATATAATCAAAGGCGGTGGATTTTTGCCGATGATCAATGTATCCTGGGTGGGTTGGGTGAATGGCACAGGTGTCGTTGTAGTTGTAGTTGATGGAGTCTCAATCGGAGGCAATTGGAATTGCTGACTGCCATCGGCCCCGGTGGGACGTGAAGGATCGTACTCATTGGGCGGTGGCTGTTCATTTCCATTTTCCCAGCCAGGTGGTGACTGTCCATTTCCATTGTCCCAGCCAGATGGCGGCTGTCCATTTCCATTTTCCCAGCCAGGCGGCGGCTGTCCATTTCCATTGTCCCAGCCAGGTTGTCCATTTCCATTTTCCCAGCCAGATGGTGGCTGTCCATTTCCATTTTCCCAGCCAGGTGGTGGTTGTCGGTCTCTGTCTGTCCAACCGGGAGGTTGTCGTTGGCCACCACCAGTACCCCAGCCACCCCAGCCAGGAGGTTGTGGTCTGCCACCTCCAGCACCCCAACCACCCCAGCCTGGAGGTTGCGGTCTGCCGCCAGCCCAGTTTCCCCAACCAGGAGGAGGACGCCTTCCACCACCATTCCAACCGCCGCCATTCCAGCCACCGCCGGTATTCCAGCCACCGCCGGTATTCCAACCACCGCCGCTATTCCAACCGCTGCCGCCATTCCAACCACCGCGTCGGTTCCAACCACCGCTGCCATTCCAGCCATTGCCACCATTCCAGCCGCCGCCACCAACACCACCCCATGGTGGTAGCTGCCGTCTTCTATCTGGTATGCCTCCCAGTTGTCTGCCGCCGAACCCAAAGCCTTGCTGAAGCATCTGAGCTGCGGCAGCAATGGCGTTAGAGGATGCCGTTGCGCCATCAGCTGATGCCGAGGACGTTGCCACAGCGAACTGGGCAGCGCCCATTCGGATTAGGCATAGCAAACACGTTGTCAAGGCCGTTAGCAAATGAAATCGTATTCGCGTCATGTTTACTTATGATCGCATCGAGATTCAGCGCCCATGCGCTAAGAGCTGCGAGTTCTAACTGAGGGGAAAGTTTTTGCTTTTCGACGTTCGGCATTCGGCGTTCGGCGATAAGAGAGACAGCTCAGATTCGTATTCGAAACCTGTCTTCGGTTTGTTTGTTTTGCTTGTTGTGCTTGCGGCTTGTGCTAATCAATGCACGATGAGAGAGCGTGAGAGCCATAACAGCTTTGCTCTCTAACGGAGCGTATAATATGCGATCATGAACATTTGTGTACAAGAGCTTGAGAGGAAACAAGATGTGGGCAGCCGTTGACCGATGATCGGCGACTCATGGATCCGCCTGAGCGGCTGCTTCCCGCGCAGTGCGTTAATCACGGACGTGCTCGGCATTACAATACGTCTTGATCCATCAGTTAATGCCCAAGTAATTCATAGTAATGCATTAAATTGTTGCTGCTTGGATAGAAATTAGCATTATGGCAGCAGATCTCCAGCGATCCAGGTGGCTTTATGTGCTGCCAGACACAAAAATAAAACGATTAAGAGCATAATGTGTCATCGGTGTCCAGGCTCTAGTCGCAGGGTATAAATAGAAGCCCGCTGTCCAGATTTATAGCCAGAACGCAAAAGATCCGCACGGAACCAGAACCACAACGAGAATTAAAACAACATGAGAGTTCCAGTCTTAATGTTCCTCGCCTTGCTGCTGGCCAATTGTCTGGATTTGGGCAATGGTTTGCTCTTCAAGAAGCTGAAAGCACTCAAAGGTCTCAAAAGTGGCTACAGCTCTGGCTATGGCTACAATTCGAACGTGGGATATGGAGGTCATGGCGGATATGGGGGCTATGGTGTATATAAAGGATATGGAGGATATAATGGCTATGGCAATGGCTATGGCAACAGTTATAGCAGTGGCTATGGCAGCGGCTACGGCGGTGGCTACGGCGCAGGCTATGGCAGTGGCTACAGCGCTAGTTACGGTGCTGGCTACGGCGCTGGCTACGGCGGTGTCTACGGCGGTGGCTATAGCAAAGGCTATGGCTATGGTAGTGGTTACGGATATGCGCAGCAGCCCCAGAGGCCAAGAAAACCACAACGTACCGGGCGCACCTACTCAGAGATAGCCAGTGTTCTAAGACCGGATCCCTATCTAGGTCTAGGCGCGGGCCGCTATCTACCTCGCGCTCCTTATTCACATTTGTGGGGCTGACTAATTTAATTCCAAATCTGTGTCGAACTCAAAAATAAACCTGTGAAAGTTATGATATAATAAAATTTAAGTACACTACATGATGTTACGTGCTTCTATGTGAGACAATTTTAATTTCTGCTCTTCTTAATTAGTCTTTAAATATACTATATACATACATACTTACATATGTATGTATGTGTATCTTGTTTGTTTGTATCTATGTAAATCATAAGTACTAGCCGCGTGTTGTTGTTGATCGGTGCGACGTGACTGAAATGCGACTATGTTGCTTAGAGATGGGAGTGTCACGTAACTGTCACGCGAATCACGCTCAAGAAAACAAATCTAGTTCATTTATATGTGGAATTCGTAGTTTTATCTACAGCTATATGCTATATATGTATCTCAGTTCTGAGAGACTCTTTACTGGAATTTTGATCGCTGACATTATTTCTTCTGGCTCAAGTGATTTATTTAACGGTTGAGTCCATTAGAGACATACGCAGAATAGATAGATATGACTTGATCATACTTAAATCCGAATTCCTGATAGGAAATATAAAAGTATTGTTTTCGTAGTAGTAAACATTTTTGTCTAATTAATTGCTCCTAACCATTTACGATAAATACCAACAACTGTCGCACCTACCTACTACGTCATTAGCAACTCATATGAAACTTGTTAGCTACATTTTAAGCTGTCGAAGTTATGCTATGCTAAGCAATGTTAGATCATTCACATCTTAGTTTGAATGGGAATATTGAAAATTAAGATCTATACATCGAAATATGCGACTATTTAAAACGTGTTTTCAACTTTCCGCCAGCGCAGTGTAAGTGATGATCTTAGTGTGCATTTAATTAAATGAGCTTAGAACTTACATCGGAAACTGTATATCTTATGAGTAATTTCATAGGAACTCTAATGTTGTTATTGTTTTAGCTAAACCTGATCGAAAAGCAGGAAGTCTGTAGCATTGAATCTTCTGACGGCATTTGGATATAAAAGAGTTGAATGTGGTGCAGCTGAAGTGCAGTTCTTGCTAAGAAACCCAAGCTATAAAATGTCTCCGTTGCAAGCAAAGCTCTTTATTGCTTTCCTATTCACATGGATCACCCTGTTGTCGCTGGCTGTGGCTCTGCCTGCTAAATCATATACGGACATAGCTAGAGTGATCAATCCCAATCAATATGTCTCAGGCGGCAAATTCATTCCAGGACAGGCTTATTGGCCGGGAGGACGAAAGATATAATTGAAAATATAATTTAGTTGTATAAATCAGAAAATTTAATTTATTTTTAATTAAACATTAGCTCGCTTTGTTTTCATTGAAGCTGACATTACTCTTCTTTGTTTTCAATTCTTTTTAATTGTATTACTTAAGTTCTTTGTGCTACTAGAACGACCAGTTGAAGGTCAGAGACCTTCAGGGACGGCATACATCGCATTCATTCATTCATTCATATAAATAATAAGCTTTTCGCTTCTTCTTATCTTGAAAGTACTTACTTAATATTCGCAAATTAAGCGAAACTCATGTGGGGATGAGTACAGTACAGGTTTAGGATACATAAAACATATATGTACTTTACTTTGTGATTTTGATTGACTCACTGCAATCGAGATCTGCAGCCACACTTCACCGAGTCACCTAGGAGTTCCCCTTGGTGTTGCGTAAGTCTGGGCTTTTATATTCTTGAAATGTGACATAATGGACTGATCACATTCCAGACGCTCCCCTATGGACGCACCCACGAGTGTCATTAGACAGTCGCAATTACTAAATTGCTAATTAATTGTTCAGCTGCTGAAATTATTTTAGTCAAATCATTTCTAGAGTCATTAAAATAGACTGTAAAATCTATGATTGAGCCGAGCATAAGTATGTGTATATAATAGCTTCTCAGTGAAGACGTGAACGCCGCCATCTCAAACCTGATCGAACCCAGAGTGAATGACATGTTGATGACACTACGAGATGATAGCGAAGATCCCACGTCGCCTGTTGCGAGAAGAGGAGCTTGACAATGCCGATACGTGCGCCGCATGCGTCGCGTGGCACTGAAACTGTTTTCAAGTGCTGTTGTTGTTGTTGTTGTTGTTGTTGTTGTTGCTGACACACCAAAACCTGATCGATCAGGCAGCAGAATTTCAAGACTTTTCTGATGACTTACTTGGTATATAAAAGGCTTCGAGACGGCGGCATTGTAGTGCAGTTCTCAATAGCAGTCCCTAGAAACAGAATGTCTCGGCTGCAAGGCAAGTGCTTACTGCTGGCCCTACTGGCCTGCTTCACACTGCTCTCGATGGCCATGAGCTGGCCGGCCTATGGATACCGCACAGAGCGTAACGGTCGCAGCTACACGGATATTGCTCGCGTCATTAATCCCAATCAGTATGCCTTTGTGGGCAGCCGCACCTATCCAGGACAGCCGTTTTGGCCAGCGGGTCGCTAGAAATAGATACTATAATCACTTAAGCTTAAGCGAATTGAGTCAGATTAATTTAAATACCCTGTAAATACTTATATGAATTCGGCTTGCTATTAATCTTACGTCATTTATGATTCGCTCATAAAAGTATGCAACAGTTTTTCTCACATTTATAGCTCGAGCATGTCGTTAATAAATTAATGAAGTTAACGTTAGCCTGAACTATAGGCCTTATACATTTAATTATAAATAAATTATTATTAATTTAATGACGATACTATCGCTGCGGGAAATTAGCCAGAGGAAGTTGGCAGCACTGGCTCCGAATTTACTGCGCCTGCCGCAAAGTCTGCTCTACTTTTCTTGCTCAATAATTACCGTAGAAGTTTTGAGCAATTAATTCAAATGTTAATGACAAACTTGCATTAAAGTTGCAGCGACAGGCCACGCCCAGTCGCCCAGTCGCCTAGTGGTCCACCAATTACACGTGTCAAAGACGTTCAGTTGGCAGACAGCAATCACTGGCTGAGGACAGGCGAATAGCTCACATCGTCGTTAAAATTGTGCGCCTCAATGGTTAATATTGAATCAACATCCAATGCCATCTGGTGGATTAAAAATCCGAATGCAGCCAAGGCGGGTGGCACGGCTGGGCGCAAGGAGTCGCTTGGGTCGACCTTTTGTCAGGATATCGCTGAATTACTGCGCAATATATCCTTGCAGGGCTATAGCAAGCTGTTGGCAGCGGAATTTACGTTGGCGGAGCGGTAAGCGACTGTTGGAAGAAGGCAGCTCGTTGCTGTTGCTGTTGCTTTTGCCGCTCTTACGTCACGTTACTCATACGCAACGTGGACTCCATAGAAAATTTGCAGTTTCGCATCCTTTGTCTTTCCGTCTCTTTAGGCGTTGCCATCAACGTCTACCTCAGCATCTCCATTACCGTCACCATCTCCCAGCCGTATCGCTGCTGTGCACTGTAGTTTAAAAATTTTTGCGTTCTCATTTTTCATTTCCGTTTCCGTGTTTGCCTTAAAAACGGCTCATGGCCGTGCGCTTTGTGCGTTTATCTTGGCGACAATGCCCCTCCAACCCGCACGCGGCGTCCGTGCGCCCGTTTATTTGCAGATTAATTTGGCTGCTGGTGCACACAGCCACGCTCATTTCAATGGTGGCTGTGCTCATGCTCACCTGGGAGCACTTTGTTGCACAATACTTTGTCATCAATCTGAAGGATCCACTTTATCCGGTTCAAAATGTGCCATTTCCGGCTGTGTCGATATGCTCCAACAATCGCATTTCCCTGCGGGCCGCCACTGCCTACGCTCTTGAGCTGTGAGTAGCCCTAATCTTTGCCTCTCTCTTGCGTGGCCTTAACTCAACGTCATCGACATGCAGCCAGAGAAACGATCCATCACCTCGTGAGCTGAAGTATTACCTGGACAACCTGACAAATCTGCACAGGCTGTATAGTTTCGGCGACAAGGAGACGCCCAATGATGAATACACAAACTTTCAAGCATTTCTGGACATCTTCGGCACCTGGGACAATGAGACCTTCTTTAATACGCGCCGCATCATGTATATGGTGAGTTGATTTATTGATATAAGCATAAGCTCTTTAATAGCGTGTGATCTCTAGCTCTCACCCACGTGCTCGGAATTTATAATAAAGTGCAGTCTGAACAATGTGAAAATACCCTGCTTAAGCGAAACTGCATTTCAGAAAAAGCTGACAAAGTATGGTCCATGCTGTACTTTTAATAGCAATAACGGGTAACTTTTGCTTACACTCCATAAATATATATAATTTTAGCAAGTGAATTACATTCTATTGCTATGCAGGCTTAAGAAAAGAAATTTTACTTATCGCTTGGCTGATTCGTCTTTCGGGCTGACAGTTGTCCTAAACTCGAGCAAAACGGACTATTTGGCGCCAGTTTTGAATACCGATGGCTACATTGTTATCATTCATGATGCGGATAATTTCCCGGCGGTAACATCGTCAAATTCATTGGAAATGTTTCCGGGACAAGGCGAAGAAAGTTATCTGAGTATTTTCGCGCGTGTAATAGATACCGATAAGAGTTTATACTCTTTCTCCCCATTTAGTGTAAGTTTTCATGCGCTTTCGCTTCGATTCCCTAATATTCTATTCCATTGTGGGTTAGCGTCGATGTTATTTCCATACGGAAGCGAATATGCCACAGATGGGCTCCATTTACACATTCCCCAACTGCATTACCAGATGCCGCATACGCAGCATAATTGCCCTATGCAAGTGTCTGCCCTTCCAGATGCCCCTGGAATTGGTGGAGAGCTTCGACGGACTTGTTTACTGCACGCTTGCCCATGTCGCTTGCCTCTCCAATTACCAATGTGAGTCCTTAGTAGTACCTATGCGCCATATATCATTTAATATTGCCTTGACCCCTTTCAGTTAAGTGGAATAATGTACTGACCCAGAGACTTCGGATTCCGGGCCTGGAGCGCGAGTCAGAGGAAGCCTTGTTCTGCCCGCAGTGCCTGCCTTCGTGCAACGATGTTCAGTACAGTGTTTCGCTCAACGAGCTGCCAATCGATACTTACCTGGCGAACCTATCACCTGACGAAGTCGACACTAGCCTGGGCACCGATTTGTCCGTCCTGAGAGTGTTTTTTGGAAAGCCGAATGCCAATTACTATATGCGACTGTTGAACAACGAATGGTTTGAGATCTTCAGTAAGTGTTTGAAACGTTAGTTATGCAACGGTAATTAATGCGAACTTTTCTTGTCAGGTACCGTTGGCAATATTCTATCAATATTTATGGGATTTTCATTGGTGGCCATTTTTGAGACGCTTTTCTTCATTTGCAAGCACATTTACTTGGGCTGTCATCGCATATTGGAGCGCAGCAGAGCCACCAGCAGGGGGAAGAAGTTGGATGCCACGAAGCTAAAAATATATCCATGAGAGAAAACTGAAGTAATTGAAGAAAATGTGCGGAATCAAATGATTTGCTTTTCTATTTGTAATTGTAGAAGCGGAATTCTTAAAATACAAAAATTCCTATATCTTTATTCACAATCAACACGTGGCTTCATTTGCCTGCTTCGTAATCCTGGGGCTACGTGGGAGGTTTCGTTTAATTTTTTTATTTTTTGGAATGCCGGGCTAGACGAGGAAAAATCAAAAAGAACATGACCTGCTTTTGTCCTTGTCGCCACCCCAGATGATTATAATGATGATGATGATGATTATGGTCATCATCATGAAGTTGTTGTTTCCGTTGGCTGACATTTAATGCGCATTTAACTAATTTCATTTTAAATTGTTGACAATTAAGGGAAATTGCCAAGACGAATCGAGAGCCTGCCTGAATAAACAGCCCATGGAGGCGGCAGTAGCAATGCCAATGCCAATGCCGTACACCATGTGCCATGTCGCAGTTAATTTGTTGGCAATAAGTTGGAACACGAGTCCTAATTACAACAACACGCACGACATGACTGCAAAATTTTCATTAAAATGAGCAGGCATCAACACGCCCCACCTCCCCCCGGCCGTGTCCGCTGCCACGACAATGCCGTGGCCAGGATACTTGTTAGAGGAGCAGGAGCTACAAAAAGGCGCGCACTGCGTAGACAGCCGCAACAGTTGCAATCCACAAACGGCTGAGTGAGTGCCAAACATGAAAGCGAACGCAGAGCGGGTTGGTCCGGCGGTGCCATCCAAACGTTTGGTGGTTGGACGCGCCGCCTGGTGGATAGCCAAGCCGCGAGCTCGTCCACCTGCGCCACTCACGCTAATGGCGGCTATTCGCGAAGAGGAGTCGGCAGCGCGAAAATTGTCATTTGCCGACGCAGTTAAGGATTTGCTGCAAAACCTGTCATTTCATTGTTATGGCAAATTAGTTGAGCACGGACGTGGCATTCAGGAGCGGTAAGTAAGCCTAAAAGCCCTTGCTTCCCGCCCCCTTGTTGGCCGCCCTTTCAATTAGCCGACTCTGCCGCAGATTCTTCTGGCTTATCTGCCACATAACTGCCCTGACTATGCTAATTGCTTTCGTGTGGGGCACGTACAAGGATGCGGCGGATGAGCTGGTCACCACGCTGTACGATCCATTGTATGCAGTCAGCAAAGTGCCCCTGCCCGCCGTTACGATATGCTCCCAGAATCGGCTATCCAGGCGCGCCGTCTGGCGTTACGCACAGGAGCTGTAAGTTGAGTCCGGTTGCGGTAAGCCCTTCTCTAGCTATAACCTCTGGCCACCCTCTGCAGCAGCAGCAAGGATCCAAGAAAACGCAACGCCACTTATTTCTATACGGAGCTGCGTGCCTTTAGCCTGTACTACGGCATCGATGAGAATATCGACGATGAGCGTATTTTGCGGCTGCAGAGTTTGCTGGATCAGCTGGATACCAGGCCGCATGACTTGTTTTTCAATCCGAAGGAACGGTTGCGCATTCTAACGCCGAAATGCAGTGACATTTTGATATCCTGCCGCTTAGGAGGACGACCATTCGATTGCATGCAGGAATTCCAACAAACTCTCTCGAGTTTTGGATTTTGTTGCACTTTCAACTCTAATGGAAGGTATGTAAATCCCCTGCTATCTGATCTTGTTTTTAATAGTTTTAGCGTTTAGTTTTTCTGCAGCACGATCGTATTACCAGCATTTCTTTGGAGTTGATATGGGTCTGACGCTGACACTCAGAGCCGCAGTTGATGATAGGTTCATCAACAAGAACGATCAAGACGGGTTTGCGGTATTATTATTCGAATTATTGCTAGTGGTAGTAGTATTTATTTCAATCACCATGTCCCTAAGTAGATTGCTCTCAATGAGATACACAACTATCCGGATCCACAATCCGGCGGTGTTACGGTACGTTATCTGAAAACCGGGCGCAGCACTTATTTGCCAGTGCGTCCCCAGATCTTGGAGACTCTCCAGGAGGCCCGTCGCATCCGGCCCGCCGTGGTGCGTATTATAGACATCTGTCAATCATTGCCCAATCAATCAATAACGTGTTCATAGCGTAAATGCCGTTTTTGGGATGAGATGCCGCACAACTTCACTCGCCGCTATACCTTCAGCAAATGCATCTCCGCGTGCCGCGCCCACAGCATCTACAGCCTGTGCCAGTGCCTGCCCTTTCAGCTACCCATGCATTACATTGGAGGCGCCACGGGACGCCTCTTCTGCACGCTACAGCACATGCAGTGCCTCAGACACTACACATGTGAGTAGGCAGAGAGAGGGAGGGAGAGAGAGAGAGAGAGGTGGAGGCTGGTGCCGATTGTCGAGGCCGATTGAGTCTCTGATATTATTTCAGTCAAATGGATGAATGTCATCACCAGTCGCGACTATGTGCCCGGCCTGGAGCATGAGATGGAGGATGCGCTCTACTGTCCACACTGCCTGCCCTCCTGCAGCGAGATACGCTACAATGTGCGTGGCGCCGGAGCTCTGACCCTTCGCAATCCATTTGGCAACATGACGTAAGTAGAATCTAGTTAGAGCTGAACAAGGGAACAGTTCAAGGACAATTCCACCGCGAAGGTTTGAGACCTTTTCAATTTCTGCCTAATCAACTTCCAACTGAAAAATATCTTTGCATACTTTTAGGCGGGCAGAAAATGAAACGGATTTGTTACGTATATATACTACTTAAATTTCTCTACTTGCAGTCAAATCTTAAGCATTAAATTATAGTATTATAACTTTACAATTCAGTTGTTTTGGCCTTTACTACAAAAGTTTTCCGATTGAAAGTTCCGTTTGTTCTTTTGTTTAGCTCAATCTCCGTTGATGGTTCCCTGATGGGGTTACGTTTACCCTCCGTCAGTTGCCATAAATGAGTTTAATTTTGCAGCAACGTCCACGACGGCAACATCAGCAGCCCGGGCAATAACAATTATGGCCATGACAGCTCCGAGTTGGCCGTTGTGCGTATTTACTTTGCCGAAACGCACATTCAATACTTTCGGCAGATTATTAAAAACGACTGGTACGAGATCTTCAGTGAGTCTGCTGCATATTACAATTTCCAACAGCAACAAAATACAAATACCCCGGCGCGTATATATGTATGTATATACGGCGTGTACTGCTTCATTTCCAGGTACAATTGGCAACATCTGCGGCATCATAGCGGGCTTCTCATTGATTGGCATCTGCGAGCTGCTATTTTTCGTAGCCAAACAATTATGGCATGCATACAAAGCGGAACGGAAGTCGGAGCTCTTTCATACCCACTGCCATACCCCACGCCGGTCCCGTGCCCGGACTCGGGCTAATGGCCGTGCAAAGGCAACTCAGCAGCGGCAGCCAATGGAGCTCCTCATACTGCCGTAATTGAGCGAGAGGCCGTGCCAATTTTAAAGCTCACTGACTTTTATACAGTTCTCTGCACGCATTTATAGAGTCGCACTCCCATAGTATATGACGTGTGTTCAAGTGTGTGTGTGAGTGTGTGTGTGTGTGTGTGTATTGCTGTTGACCTACGTAGCAAATGTTAATTATCGCGCACTGAGCAGCTGCCAGCTGATTGTAGGCCGGGAGCACAACTCAAGTGCACTTACTTTGCATTGTCACATAAAAATAAACAGCACCAAGAGACGCTCAGTCCAGCTTAGAGAGCGGTGTACGAGGGGCGAGCGGTGGGGGGCTACAAAAAGGTCCAGACGGTAACATTAGCGCCAACAATCTTGGACATTTGCCCACTGGCTGACTGGCTGACTAACTGACTGGCCAACAGTTGGCAGTCGAAACAGTCGAACAGTTATGGACCACAAAGTCGAGGAGTTACCGAAAACATTTCAAAGGCTGTTATCCTTGGCACATGGCCCGACTGGCACTTACAATCAAAATAAACTTTTATTTCGGATCGTTTGTGCAGAGATTGACAAAATGAGTAAACAAATGAAAAGCTATCCATGCATACATATGTTCCATATCACGCATATGAGAGAATCCATACACAGAGGAATTTTGCAATATCTAGCTTAAATTATTCAATTATAATAAATTTTTGAATGTTCAATGATGTGTAAAATGCTATTGATTAGTAATGATTATATATATGCATAATTCATATATGTATTTGAAATGTATATCAATTAGAATTCTAGTAGATTGTCTTATGCATTTTCATTAAAGCCACCGAACAAGGATTCATGGAATTCCGAAATATTTTATCTTGAAATTTTTTTATGAATTCCGAATTTGAATTGATTTTCACATTCAAAGCTAACAAAGTCCCCCCCCCCCCCCCCCCACCAC